GGGAGGGGGGGGGTTCCGGGGGATTCGGAAGAACCCCCCACAAGGCTCAAAGGTCCACTTTTTGGTCCACTTTTTATGAAAAGGTCCACTTTTTGGTCCACATTTTATGTAAAGGTCCAAGATTTTTCTTGAAAAGATGGACTGGAAACGTAGAAAAACTGCTCCCTTTGTCATGGAATAAAAATTTACCTCTGATTTTTTCTTGGAAATCCTCTCAAAAATGCACGAAATGCCATTTTAGAAGGTTCATTTTTCAAAATTTTCCGGGGGAGCATGGGAGCATGCCCCCCATTCAAAATCCTGGCTACGGGCATGTATTGCAAACATATTATTATTTCACACTTGCTACACACGATCATTAGTTCTCGTTACTCGTTACGATCAGTGATCGACCAAATTGGAAAGTTTTAAGTGAATATGACAGTATGCAAAACAATAGATAAACAAACATGTATATTTCTGCACACGCCCGTAAGTAATTTCGCGGAAATCCCAGAAAAGTACATTAGATTATCTTAACTGGAATACGTTGAATGTTTATGATTTGATGGACAAAAACTCTGTTAAAAGTTTGGTCGCAGCCTCCAGTTGATAGGCGATATATAAAGACCCACATGTCACAGAATATCTGTCGTTTTCCGCCAACCCACCGGAAAGCACGTCTGAATTCAGGTCAATGATTTTTATCACACGGACATGCTGTTGTATCCAGAAACGTGCTTTATCCAGAACCATGTTCAGACACAGTCCTGGATAGTCCACGCGTATCTAGACCCGTGCCTGGTACAAATCTACATTCATGGATATATATACGAAAACTATCGAGAACCATGCCTGATCCTAGCAGTAACCCATTCAGGCAAAGAACTAGTTGACAATGGTTCTAGATACCATACATGCCGCGTACTCCTGGGTGAAACTTCTGGTAATCACACGGTGAGTAAACATCACGCCTGCATATGTGGAACTTTGATCTGTGCAATTTCCTCGCTGGGAAACAAAATGGCAACAGGACACAAACAAGTGTAGTCAAACCTGTACTAGTGACCACCTCTACATAAGGACCACCTGGCCATTGATATACAAACCTGTACTAGTGACCACCTCTACACAAGGACCACCTGGCCATTGATATACAAACCTGTACTAGTGACCACCTCTACATAAGGACCACCTGGCCACTGATATACAGTCAAACCTGTACTACTGACTACCTCCACACAAGGTAGCCTCCGTAGCAGGCTTATAGAACTGGGGGTTTGGTGGTCTTCGGCTGTTTTCTGATTAACCCAGCTAATTCAACCAGGTCGGCTATGTTGTCTATATGCAATCAGAAAATAGCACATAAAAGCTCCCAAAGACCCTGAAGACCCCCAAACCCCAAGTTTTTGGCTTGCTATGGAGGCTACACATAAGGACCCCCTGGCCATTGAGATACAGTCAAACCCGTACAAGTGACCACCATTACATAAGGACCCACTAAGGCCATTGATATACAGTACAGCCTGTCCAATGACCACCTCTAAAATAACTCTTAATCAAATGAAATAATAAATGGTAGATCGAGAATGTTTTTTTATGTATCATCACATCATTAGCCTATTTAACAAGCCCCGATACATTTGGGGTGGGGTTGGGGTAAGTTAGATAGTATACTATATATATAGTACATGTAGTAGTTTTATAGTATACTACCCCACGTAGGTCTCACACAGAAAAAACAACTATGAACATAAATAATACCTTTCCGTTACATAAAATCTCGACTCTCTTCGAACCCTCTATGAGACGCCAGGACATCCCAAATCTTCCAGGCGGATAGAAATATATTTTCTTGCTTCAATACTAGAGTGACTTCATGGCGTTAATTCGTGACGTGAGAACACTGAGGACATCGGAGCTCCAAATTCAGACCTTGGACCCGATGGACAAATATTACCCGATCAAACACCCGTGATATCCGTTACTAACCACTGGGCCAATCGCTGTGCTCCTTTCCGGTCACGTGAGACGATACGTAACATTGTAATTTTTACCTGATACATGTAGATACGGTCACGCCTTATTAGGCATGTTAGTCACTCGGTCGTTGCCATGGTTACGGATACGAGTAAAAAAAACCCGCCAAACTCTTTTTTTGGGCGCGACAGAAAATCGTATTTAGGTCCACGTATGGATGTTTATATTTATTCAAACGTGCCTTAAGCCACCCCAATTTAATTTGTTGTGTCTCGGAGTTGTTCAGAAAAATTATGAAGCGACAGGGCGAAATAAAAATTTAAAAAAATGGCCAAGGCACCCCATGAAGGCCGGAAATGTTACGATATGAACCATGAAGTCAACATACCAGGCTGGTGTATAATTAAAGCAATAGATTTTAAACATTTAATGAAACGGGGCTACATTGAAAAACTTTAACAACTAGGAAGAAAAGGACTTTCTTAAACAGTTGGGGCCAAAGTATGTCTTTCATTGAGCATTTTGCAGTTGATTCAGAACCTAAAATCTTTTCTTTTTTTTTTTACAAATCGAAAAAAAGGCGAATCCAAGAGACAACAAATTAAAATGGTGTTCCCTTATCAAGGGCTTGGTACGCAGAGTCACAAAACTGAACTTCAGACTTTCGCACTTCGAGTGTACCTAGTTACTCAATGTACCGGCGATATGAGTTAGAATTCCATGTCGTCATTGTGTTGACCCTATAGCAAAGGTGCCATCTTTCGTAGTTACCGCACGTAGCAAGCAGAAAGGGTTGTGGCGTAGCGGCAGAGTGCTCGACTCGGAACCAAGAGGTCCCGAGTCATGGCATGCCACCGATCTTGTGCCTTCGGAAAACTTTACACGACTTTCCTCACTTAACTTAAGTGAAAATGAGTATTATCCTGTCCTGTATTTGTCCTCTGCGTTACTGGTATAAAATATGTTGAAAAAAATGGAGTGCACGTGTCATCACCATGTCTGGTCATGAAATGTTGAATTTAAGAAAGCAAAAGAGAGAGCCAGCCGTAACTACAGAGACCCCAGGCTATTGGCCCTAAGCAAATAACACTTCAAAATGTCAAACACAAGACTTATAAACGTTACTTGCTATTCAAAGGGACACATTTTGGATAGATTGCAGTCTTATGGCACTAGTATAGTTTCACTGCGGCATCACACCGTGTATTCTGGCGTCCCGATTCGTGGTTTGAATTTAATCTCCAAGCAGATCCCTCTCGGTGGCAAAAAGACAGTATCAAATTGGCCAGGTAGTATCCATTAACCAGAGAAGGTCCGCGGCCCCCGACGGGGGTAGCGACAAAAGAACGGCCATATATAAAAAGGTAACGATCATTCCCCCACAACCTCTGCTTGGAGAGTAGTTTGAAGTTTTCTATGGTTGTTGTAAAAGACTATCGGTAGACACTGGCTGGATGAGACGACTTAGAATGACTGGCAAGTTCTGGTGGTCAGCAGAGCAAACAACTTAAAGAAACAGACTCTCTTGTGTTAAGGTACAAGAAACACGCTGTTGCATCGCCCCACTTCCCTGTAAAAACGCCATTTTGGTTGTTTTCTTTAGTTTAAGGAGTAAAATGAAGCAAAGGAACGGTCGAGTCCCACTACCTTAACCTCTCCATATAGCGCAAATAAAACATTCCAGCTAGAAGCAAGAGCAAGTGATTGTCAGTTTTCTTTTTGGAGAAACGCCCTACTGCAGTTATTGTCCCAACATTCTCCCTCTCGCTCTGAACTGTTACCTAGTTAAATACAAATATAACGCCACAGCCTGTGAGCCACTCACCAAGAACAAAATTGCTCAAGCGCCAGTTTGCCATAACTAGTATTTTGTAGCAAATTAATGAAAAGTTTTGTATCTTAAACAGGTAACACGTCCCCTACCTAACCCCGGCCCGTATTGTCGCACGCGCCTGCTGACACCCGACACCCGACTGTTTTCAGGCGGGAACAATGTTCCACTCACAACACAACACCCCAGCTGTCACCTCTGACCCTGTTACCATGGTGACCAGGTAGTGCCACACCTAGGACCTTTTTTTAAATATATAATCCAACATCTAATTACAAGACGTGGTGACGGCACACTCAAGTTTTTTTTCAAATTTTTAACCGTCACCAACACAGGGGACAATACAGTACTCATTTTCACCTGAGCGAAGTGGGGAAAGTCGTGTAACGTGCCTTTCCCAAGGACACAAGATCGACGGCATGTCAGGACTCGAACCCGGGACCACTTGGTTCCGAATCAAGCACGCTGCCGCTACGCCACACGGCCTGTACCCTTTCCGGCCCTGTCCGGACATTGGACAGGTGTTTACAAGTAAACAGGTGTGCAGAGAAACCGTGGAACGACAGACAGGTGCCTCGCTACATACCTGCTGTCACATGCCGCTGTTACGTAAACAGGGAAAGTGTTTGGCATGTATCCAGTTCAGCTGCTACAACAGCGGGTTTGTTACATGTGGAGACTATTGTAGCAGTTGGAGTGGAAGAGGAGGGGGGGGGGATTCGGCTATACAATTACCATATTTTTCAACATCCCCTACTGAACTTTGGGATAGTTGATTGTAAAATTTTCTTTTCATGAACTGCAAATTTTTTAACACTCTCCATGACAAGTTTCATCTCAAATCAACATACATGTAAGTACCATCTCCAAGCATAGTCCGTGCTTTTAAGTACGAGATGGACAAGCTAAATAAATAAATATACAAAAGAGAAAAATAAGAATGAACATGACGTTTGGGTACAATGTGTGGTATCTGACAGTTCTACGTGAAAATTGGCAGTAGTGTCAGTTATACCTTTGTTACTGGAGTGTAATCTTGTCTCGCATCAAAGAGGTATATACTTGTACAAACATCCCTAGCCACTACCCCCCCCCCCTACAAACTGTTAACACACAAATACAGGGGGTAGGGTGGTAGGCGTGTGGTAGAAAAATGTAGTATGGAAACAGTCAGTGTAGCGGATCTTGATCTTGGGGAGCGGACTAAAGCTATTAAGGCTGGACTCCAGGCTAAGAAAAATCGGATGCAACATCTTTCACATGAACCTACACAGGCAATAGAGTACAGCAGAAAATACAACATGAAAAAGGACAAGTTTGAACGACTAAGAAGAGCGAAGGTTACATGTATCTATATCTATGGAAAGGCTGTGTCTATCTCTAAGACAAGTTTACACTATGTCTATGCCTTTACCCATGCCTAAGGCTATGTGTCCATGTTTATATCTATGTGTAAGCTTCTATGTCTAAGTCTATGTCTATGTTTAAGTCTATATCTATTACTCTACATCTGAGTCAGTCAATGAGCCGTCTATGTCTATATACGTCTAAGACTAATTATACGTCTATGTCTATGCCTGAAGTCTGTCCATATTCATGTCTATATCTAAGTCTACGTCAATGTCGCCCGTGTCCTTGCCTACGTCTACGACTGTCTGTATAAGTCAACGTCTATATCTAAGCCTATTATTAAAGGAGTACTAACCTCCAGAAGGAAGTGCTATTTTCCCATACATCATGCTGCAATGAATACATAACTAGCCGACTTTTTACATAATTTCGCTTATACGACTTGCACGGCGCATGTTTGTAAAGTGATATTAATATCATTTTCCCCCATGCTGAACCACAATTGATACATCCGGGAATTCTGGCTTACGCAATACTCATACACTTCAGGTCAACATAAACATTTTTCGGCGAAAATGGTAGGAGACAAGCACACTAACAAGCTGATTATTGAGAAATTACTTGCTTTACTTTGCTTGACCTGTGGCTTGGATATTATAATATCAGGATGTCGAATACAGTGGGAGCCAGTTTCATCCTGCGTGTTTTGATTTTCTCAACTTATTTGCATGTAAGTATTACTTGAACAGATAATTAGATTACGCCACTTATGGAAAGGATAACTAGATTACGCCGTTTTTTTCATCGTCAATATTTGCGGCATAAATGAGGGGCGATAAGGACACCAAGAAAGGGCAATGGTTGGTAAGATACCAAAGAACACAAAACGGTATGAATTTTTCTTATCGCCCCCGAAATGAGGTCTGTAACGTAACTTTTTGTTTAAAACATAGACACTAATGGGGTAGCGTGGTGTATTCTGGGATAGTTTTGAGGGTATTTGGAGAGTTTGTCCTGGATTCGATGCATTTTAAGACTTGCGCGCAAAATGGGCATTTAATTGTATACTGTAAAATAATATGCATTTTTCAATTCCAAAAATAAATGCCTGTCGAAATATAGCACCTCCTTCTGGAGGTTAGTACTCCTTTAAAGTCCATGTCTATTTTATGCTTATGTCCATATTCATGTCTATACTTGTATTTAAGTCTACCTCAATATGCGTGACCATGTGTGCCTATGTCTACGCCTACCTCTGTGACTATATACCTATCTATGTCTGTGTCTATGCCCATGTCCATGTCTAAGTCTATGCCCTTGTCTAAGTCTATGTTCTTTTCTAAGTTCATGTCTGTGTGTAAGCCTAAATCTATGTCTACGTGTATGACTATATCTATTTCTATGTGTAAGTCGACGTGAATGCCCATGTCCGTGTCTATGTCTAAGTCCGAGTACATCTGTGTCTCAGGATGTACCTGTGTAAATCTCATTTTAAGTCTAAGTAAGCTTAAGTCTAATGCAGAACCAGGCTGACACCTTCCGTCCCGCCCAGCCGGCTATCACATGGTCCGGTTGCCGAGACCCTGACCAGCGGCACCGACCGCGACCACAGACAATACTCCTCCTCACTCCCAACCCGCACAAACAACTATAAATAACCCGCAACAACATAACATAACCTACAAAACCGGAACATTCTACACTTTCGACTACTGTACGCGTCTGTTACCATGGCAACGAGAGCGTATTTCGTATCACACGTGAACTGTGCTGATTTTTGAAGAGAATTCAGACGAAAGAAGGAGTGAGAAGCCAGTGCGTTTTGTCCTGAATGGAAAACCCTAGGTGTAACTGATACCAGGTTACCAACAACAAAAGGGCTTCGGTCTTCCCAGCCTAGAGAATCTTTCGAACATGGACAAATCTTGGGCCTTGTTTTACCTTTACTAAACTCAAAGTCAGAGAGATGGGCAGGGGAAGGGTGGAGGGACACTTCAAGTTTGGGATCAGCGCAAATTTAAGGGTTTGACCTTGCCAGAGGGATGGGTTTTGGTCCATAACCTTGACATTAAATACAGAGGAGTTTACGGTTCCTTAGATAACATAAGATGTCGTTCTTAAGGGCTCAGCGGTTTCTTGAGTACTCAAGGAAGACGCCTGAACAGAGGGCGTTAAGGTGACGTTTACGGGAAGGCGTGTTTCTTAAGGGTTCTCATCCGCAGCTCAAACAAACCGCACAACGACGTCACACCTGTGTACGGCTCACCTGTCCACCTGACGCCGCCGTAAACACCTGTACGTCACCGCAGCGTGGGACGTCTGACGCTCCCATCCTCACGGTTCCGTCCTGTAGGAGTTACTCCCGACATTTCTGGTCCTGCTGTAGTTTTTCTCTTTCCCTGTCCGGATCTAGCTAGCGGTCCCCGTTCGGCGTCACGGTGTGTTGTCGCGCGCGGCTCTCGGGTTCGGGCGCCGATTCGCGGTTAGCCTTGCATGGCATGACGGCAACAATGACACCGAACCCCCGCCCCATCCCCCGCCAGGAGTCAATGGAAACCCGACCCCACACCGCCATGGAATAGAACCCCCCCACGGTAACCCGACCCCCGCCCGCCATGGAATAGAACCCCGTGACGTAACCCAGGACGCAGCGGATAGGAGGATAATCTATCGGTACCATCAGCTACAATCCGCCCGGCCTTTCAGAAAACCACTGTGCGGAACGTCTGTATTCACGGAGGTCCATAGAACCTCACTGAGTATGTCTGATTCAGACACACATATGGCGCTGTGGATAAACTTAAGGCAAACTGTTTGTCGGTAAACAAAGAAAATTCCGATTGGTCACGGCCAGTCTGCATGTAGGTTTTCATGAAAGTGGACATAAAACGGGATCGCTTTGGAAGGGGAGTTAGTTACAGGAGTAGGAGTCCAAGTCTCAAGGGAAGACTTGGTGTTGTAAATCCAGAATCGTGCTTTATCCATAACAATCCACGGTTTTGTATAGCCCACGGCACGCGCATCCAGAACCGTACCTGGGGCAAATCTACGTTTTCGGATACGCGGAGACAATCCAGAACCGTGCCTGATCCTAACCCTAACCCATTCAGGCTTAGACGTAGATAGACACAGTTCCGGATATCTGGATAATTGGTCGTTGGTGACGTAATAATATGAACAGGTTGCAGAGGGCAGGTCGGGAGTTTTAGGATAATCACCATCATGGTGCTAGCCCAAAGCAAGACGGTTATCCTCCAAACGTGTCTGTCTTTCATGGTCTGTAAGGAGTATTGTACCACCCAGCCAAATAAAACTTAAGGACATTTGACCACCCACAAAACCCACCATATGACAGTTGGCTAGACACGCGGTAAAAAGGAGCGGTCCAAACTGGACAGACGTCCTACCCGACCGACGCGTTTACTTTACTCTGTATGCTCTTAACCCACCATCGCCGGCAAGTTGGTCTGTATGATTTGCCATCACGCGAAAAGGATTTAAAAGACGTTTACAAACGTCGCGACTTTTCTCCGAAGACAAAAGTTGGGGATAGCCTGGGTACGGATGCCATCCTCCGTAGTTACCACTGGCTCTCTCTAGAAGAGCTTTGTACGTGACATCGTCTGACAGAAATTTAAGGCAAGGCCATCCTACTTGTAAACTGGGGCCAAGTATAGTGAAATAAGATGATGCTTAGGCTGAACATCCTGGATTTATGGAAAAGTTTGCAAAAAAAAGTTTCATCAATCTTTCGATAGTATCCAAACACGCGCGACTATAGTTTCACTCAAATACTGGACAAATTAAAGTTAAGGCAAAAATAATTCATTTTTCTCTATATAAAACCCACCTTTCCGGCCCGTCCGTTTCCGGCGCTGGAACGTGAGACTTGTCCTCGCCGACATGACGTCTGCTACATGTAACAACTACTCACGATGTGGCGGTTCTGGTGTTGCGGCTCCTGTTGCCGGTGTGTAGCAGCGTCCTGGACGGGACGTCAGAGTAGCGAGCTGTTTTCTACCATCAGTAGACAACACTTTATATGTAGCAAAGTGTTCTTATGGCCACTTTAAGTAGCCAATTTGTAGCCATGTTCTGTGCAGCACGGCTGTAGCCACTTCTCCAAATGTAGCGACTTGTTCTTACACTCTCAGCATCAATGTAGCGACTTGTTCTGTTTGTAACAGTTTTACCGCAACAGTCGCCTGTCTATCCCTGCTCGTTGCCTAGCGACCGGGACTTTGCTACATAATTACATTTACTCTCTTAAAGGCGAGCATCAATTGCCTGGGAACTTGGTAAGTGGATGGAGTACGTGTGGCCTTTTCTAATGTAATTCCCGTTCGCCTTCCTAATTGTTACATCCGGGCTGTAACGTTTCCAAGTGCAGGAAATGTGACAAATGAAGCCTGAATGGCAGAGTAAATGTCATTAGTGTGTAAGGCGCGGGTTACGCACTTCCAGAGTTAGGAAGGACCAAAACACGCTCTTGGAGGGAGAGGGTTCGAAACAACAGCTTTTTTTCCCTTCAAAACTTAGTCGGCTGTTGTCTTATACTGTCACTCTTTTCGTGTCAACCAATATTGCAAGGAAACCATAACGTATTTCTTATTACATGTATACCCCCCCCCCTCACTATCAACTATCCTCCACTGGTACCAATTTACTAGTAATATGACCTTCAAATATAGAGACATTCCAAAATAAAGAAATGGAGGGAGTGGGGGGTACATGTATTTCATCCTTTTCTCCATTCTTATAATGTTTTCACTTTATATTTGTCAAGCCATATATAGCTATATTTGCCATTTTATATCTGATTATCAAAGATAAAGGTCACCACAAGGTCAATCCCAACATGGCGGATCTTCGGTTTTATTGCATCGGAGGTTGATTGCACATTGATCGTCAGGTGGAACAGTCCACTCACTGGGGAGGGGTGTGAAGCATGACCCTATAACTCTAGGATACAAACTGGCATTAAAAGTTTGTATGTTACACCCTATTGTTGGATGGACTCGCCCATGGTCAACAAACAGCAAAGCACTTTGGGATATGCCATATCCCATCATGCCATATTACAGACCAGTACATGTTTGCCCCCCCCCCCTCAAGAAAGCAGTGATGGAAGACTCTAACGCGCAACTTTTTTGACACAAAAGAATTTTCTGACAATGAAAATTTCTCACTTCCTCCACCACAGTCAACCATAATTAAGTCAATTCACGACATCCACATACAAAACGATAAAGAAATCAGATTGTCAACACTGCTAAAAAGTCGCATATTCTTATAACTTACTACAGGTTATTATTTGACTCATTTGATCTAAAAATCTAGAAAATGAGGAAAGCCAAATTCTATAGTCTCCACCAGGCTAACAGCGTGGGAAGCAAAATTATACTAACAGTGGTAAAGTTTATCCAAATTGGGAGAATAATTGCATGGCAAGGGGAGTTTGGGAATCATACCAGGGTTTCACTTAGTTACCCATACAAGGGAAATGTTCCTCATACCATAATGTCACTCTCCTAGCCAGTAGTTGAGTAAAAATGATAGTCTTGCTGAATTCTGATGTTTGTAACCTAGTCTCTATCAGACTAACTACGCTGGCTATATGTAGGAGAATATTTGCCGGGGGAGTTTGGCCGCCTTGTAGGTTTGACTGAAACTACCTCCCCGCGGCCGGACTCCCTTGGCTAATTTTACCCTTTTTTTTGCCGAATTCTACGATCCGTATTCCCGTAGAAAGGCCTGGTGGAGGCTACTGATTCTACATGAAGGTCTTTTGTTGCAAAATAATGCATTGATTAAGTAACAAACCACGACATTGTACATATTTGCAACAAGCCAACAATAGCCACATGTTGTTTGGACAGTTCCATAGTCTTCAGTTATCCGTATGGTGTATTGTATCAAACTCTGTAATACGATATTTGTAAGGTTACTACCCTTAATACTGACAGTCTAACACATATCATCTTCTTCATATTTACAATTTGGCATAAATTTAAGCTCCTTCTATTTTTGTACATGCTAACACGATTTTGACACACAAAAAAATAAAATTATTTCTGAAAGAAAATAAGATACCTGAATGATTTTTGACATGCGAAGTAAACCAGTAATCAAGAAAATATCGTACCAAAATTTACAAAAAATTACATTTTTAAAACTAGAAAGGCCAATATTTGCTTTGGAGCAAATACAGCGATGGGTTCACCACATTTTACGACATGGCAGGGAAATAATGAGAAACACAAGGGAAAACAATGATTTACATTGATATAACTATAATATGAAGTAACTTACAACTAAAACAACAGTTGGATAGCTATTCCCTACTTTATTGGTTAGGATTTTTAATTGCATAATGCAAACTGTTGATTTTCAAAAAAAAAAAACGTTCATGCCCCGCATTCCAATGCTGGAGCAGAAAAGCTTGAAATACCTACCAAAACACTTGAATAAAGACATACTGTCAGTATGGAAATGCTCTGTGCAGGTGTTAATCAAGTTAAATCCCAACAGCCAATCAGCAAGAAATGCTCTGTGCAGGTGGAAATGCTCTGTGCAGGTGTTAATCAAGTTAAATCCCAAAAGCCAATCAGCAAGAAGTATAGAGGAAAGCTGCATGCCTATTGGTTGATGCCCTGCATTCCATTGTGATGACTCATGCCCAGACGTGGTAAACAAGGCACACTAACACAGTAATACATTTGCTATAACACAGCCAAAAAACTAAAATAAAACCATTCTAAAAGCCTGTATCACAAAAATTCAAAAAACGCCTAGGGGTATTTGCCCACTGTACCTCCATACCAAATTTCAGGACCTTAGGCCCTAAAATGAAGAAGCTGAATCCATTTAAAAAATGGCAGGAGGAGAAGAAGAAACATCAGAAAAAGCAATATGGGTTCACCACCACTTCGTGGTGTGGTGAACCCATAACTAGAAAGTAGAAGGCATCAACATCTATCAATGTAAATAATCAAAATAAAGTAAGCAAGAATCCAACTCTCATAATACCAATAGAAAAGAATATTCATTACTTTTGTAGATGAGAAAGTATGAAGTTAATGTCACCTCTGCTATCTCTAATTTTTCTTTACATCGATATAGTATCACACTTATTTATAGTTCCAGTTGTGTTTATCTATTAACAAGGATTTCTTCATGATTTCTGTACATTTTGATGTTTGACAGTCACTGACTAAATTTCTGCTTAACTGCTGTGAAATGGTCCAATTTGGCAGGAAAAGTCCTTAGCAATTTTGGAGTGGAAATTAAAATGGAAAAACAAATATTTAGTTTTCGTAATACATGCTTCCTGGGAGACTTTTTTTCTTCAAAATTTGTGATATTTTGAGCTCAACTAGTAGCAAATTTCTGTATATTCTTTGGTATATCAATTAAAAAAAACTGGGTGCAGAACTTTTTCCAACATGTCCTACTAAAATACATTACGGTAGAACTGAGTCAACTGGCAAAACTTTTACCTGATAAAATGGCTCTTTGACAAGAGTAGAGATTTCTACTTCTAGACAGAAGCCAAGACTTAAACTACTGTGTGATCTATTGCCTGTTTAGTTTGTGTTTCGAGTTACTGGTGCTCTAATGTGCATTCTATTGTGTATTATTTTGTGTTGGGTAGCCAGTGTTCTAATTTTGGGGTCTACAACTGCTTAGTTTCTTTTCTGTGTAGCTGGACTGTGCATTATATATAGTGTCTGTTCTGTGTTCCATATTGCATTCTATTGCTGGTTAGTTTCTGTTCTGTGTAGCCAGTTTTCTACATTGTGTTCTAGCGCTGGTTATTTTCTGTTCTGTGTAGCCAGTGTTCTATAGAGTGCTCTACTGCTGGTTAGCTTCTATTTTGTCTTGCCAGTGTTCCACTCACTAACTGTGCATTCTTTTGTGTGTTACCGGTATTCTGTGCTGTGTAGCCAGTGTTCTACATTGTGTTCTGTTTTGTGTAAAGTGTGTTCTACAGTTAGTTTCTGTTCTGTGTAGCCAGTGTTCTATAGTGGGTTCTACAGAGCGTTCTACTGCTGGTTAGTTTCTGTTTTATATAGCCAGTGTTCTATAGTGTGTTCTACAGTAAGTTTCTGTTCTGTGTAGCTGGTGTTCTATAGTGTGTTCTACTGCTGGTTAGCTTGTTTTGTGTTTCCAGTGTTCTATTGTGAATTCTTTTGTGTTTTACCAGTACTCTGTTCTGTGTAGCCGGTGTTCTACAACAAGATAGTTATACAGTGTGTTCTACAGTAAGTTACTTTCTGTTCTGTGTTCTATAGTGTGTATTCTACAGAGCGTTCTACTGCTGGTTAGTTTCCGTTCTGTGTAGCCAGTGTTCTATAGTGTGTTTTGTTCTACAGAGCGTTCTACTGCTGGTTAGCTTCCGTTCTGCGCTTGTTGCCGAGCAGCCTGGTGTTCTGGAGGATGTTGTAATCCGTGAACTCCGTGTGATGCTTCGACAGAAACGGGATGAAGAAAGCCCGGAAAAACGGATGAGATCTGCACAAGAAAGAAACGTTAGGAATTATCAAAAGAAACTTAACATATAAATATTTAAAAATATCAAGAAATCTGACGTTTCAAATCTACATCAGGCATTAGGAGTTACGGTTAGGCCAAACTTATAAATATGGTAACCGTTGTGTTTTATTCATTTTGCACTTCGTGAATATAAGAATAAAAGACTCGAAACCATGTTTTCTTGCTTTAAGTCTTGTTTATGGTCTATGTTTTTATAAAAATATCTTTAGACATCTTGTTTTTTCCTATCTTGTTTGCTTCTTTGTTGCCCATCTTGTTTTCCCTGCTATTATTGCATTACATTTGCAGATTTCAGAGATTGGCAGCCAAAGAATTTACTTGCTGTGGCCTAATCTTGGCTTTATAGACGATGCCTATTTTGGACCGCTTATTCTTCTGTTACTTCAGTTCATGCTTTAATTTGCCCCTTGATTGTACATAAGTTTGTTCAGTGATTATTTTATGTTGTATTGTTATAATTATTTTATTGTGTTTGAGGATTGCCCCCCAGGGTGCATTGTAAACTGCCCTCCTGGGAGATATGTTCTCTGGTTCACTCACTCACTCACTGCACGGCTTAACGTCCGTTGTTCCCCGTCATGCAAGGGTTGGACGTCGTGGGGTGTCGTTTGGGTCTAATAGCTGCTCTCCAGCTGCTTCTGTCTAGCGGGTTGGCCTTCTGCATAAATAAATAAATAAGCAAACAATGCCCATACCTGGCGGAGTCTAGGAAAGGCTGGGAAGCGACGACGGTCCAGTCCTTGGTCAGTCTGGCGTAGCGCGGCTCTCGCTGGGTTTCCCCCGGAAGGTCAAGGTCAACCAGGTAGTGACACTTCCGAAGGTCAATCTGGACAGGTGAGGAGAAATCACAGCAAGGTCATCAACAGTCAAACTCAGCAGCTTTCTTAAAAGTTAAAGAAAGTCACCTCCTCACCTTGGTAAGAAACTCAAGATGTCTTGACAGAGACACTGAAAAACTCTAAAGAAACTCTAAGGACATTTTCAGTACTGCATGCAAATTTCCTCCTGTACAGAATGATTACACAATGTTTTTTTTAAATGTAGAAAAAAAAAACATGTAGTAAACCTGAAATACAGCAGCACAAAACAAAAACAATACACAGGCCACACAGGCAAAAACCAGTCGTGTGACAGGCTGAATAAAAGTTCTAAACGGGAACTATGCGGCTCCAGATGTCTTACTGAGGGACGACTGCGTGTGAGAGATGTCGGTTAGCTGAGGAATGAATCCCTTCTATTATATAAAACAAAAACAAACAAACGTACATATCTTGATGTCTCCTCCAAGTTCATATCGTTCATGTGTGTTGGCACGACCTTTGACCCATCCGCGCCAGGCGCGTACGGTTTGGGCAGCTGACCTCTGAACTCTGACTGGATGAACTGTAGTTGCCAACTGGAGAAAACAATTGCAACGTTTATTTTACAACTGATATTTTCAACACAGTAGATTTGATGCTAATTTTAATTCAGTAGGAATTGAAATATACATATTTTGTCTTTGAAAAAATAACAGAGGCAATAAAATTTGATGACGTCATCCATATGGTCTAAAAATCATTTACAATTCTCTCCTGTCACCAGGCAACTGGTGATGTAGCAGACACCCTGTGGTGTTGGGTTATGTAGCAAGTAGTTTGTTGGACTTAACTTTGTGAATAGAAGATTATAGTACTTTTTTTTACAAATGTAACCTTTCTAGTATATATTTTGATTTAATTGGCATATTTCTAGTATTTTCCATGATTTTCCTCACTTTTCAGGCAGGAAGAAGCTGTTGGGAAATGGGTACCACTCCTTAATTATGTAGCAAGTTACAGGGCAGATTGAAGGGGCTGGTCACTATTAGAATTCCATAGTTGTATTTTAATGTTTCCTCACTTTTCCGGCAGGAAGAAGCTGTTAGGAAATCGGTACCACTCCTTGCCGACGCAGAGGTTGACCTCCCTGCTGGGGTCCATGGTGTGGACAGACGGGTCCTCCACAATCCGCGACAGTTCCGGGTACAGGTCCAAGGGGGCGTGGTAGCCTGCACAGGAACAACACATGTACTGTTGGATACATGAAGTAATTGTGACATACATAGATATATTGTTACAACTGTTCAGTTATAGTGACAATAGTAACTATCTCTATACATGAATGTTACAATTACTTTACATTTGAGACCGCATTTGTTAGCAGCAACACTTAGCTTTAGAAACCTGACCTCTGACCTCCACTCTTAATATTGGTCTTTTAAGTATGACCATGGAATGGCTTAATATGACCTTCAGTATTGAATTTTGATTATGTTTTTATGTTTTCGACTTTTACTGTATGGTATCCTTCTTTATTTTACTATATGTAACCTTGTCTTGTAACAGGAAAACAGCAATTGCAGGCTGAAAGGGGTAACCCAGCCATCCTAAGATTAAATAAATAAATAAACACAGTAACTGTTAAACTAGTCATATTACCCCTGAATAACAGATGAAGATGACAGATGGTCATTGAAATGTGTTAAGCAACTGACTGTGTGTAAAGACCTTTGCTATTCAGTATTCCACCAACCTGATGAATCATTGATTTCAAGGAAATCTTCCTGTTTCTAAACAACTTTCATTTCCCTGTCCCTATCTTTGGCTACTTCCTCTTTTGCAAACAGACAGGTAGGCTCAGGTGTCAGTTCCACAGCACCTGGACAGGTGAGCACACCTGTCTTGAACACCTGACTACTGCTGAATGTATCTGTTTGTAACTTGTAGCAACCAGAACAGGACAAGGCAGCAGAACATCTGATCATGAAGCAACAAACTGTTCAGGTAAGGAATGTGGAACAGGTGAGAGAACTTTCCTCCTAGCGTAGTCAAACTTTTAACTTTTAGTCAAACATTTAAACACAAAAATGGCACAGCATTCGTAATGGATATAATTATACAGTGTATGGCAAATATCTAGTGCATTATTTCATTTATATGGAACTGGAATTAGCTTTAAGTTATACAATGTAATTCAGGTAAAATTATGGGTCATCCTTAGCTTAAGTGTCCTATGTTTAATATGTAGAACAGTAATAATAATTTAACAATAGAAGAGGAATCATCATATGTAAGAAAAGATGGTATAAACGTGTAGAGGAAGCACTGCATAATCATGCTTTTACACAAAGTAAAGAAAAGTGCAAATAACTGAGCACCAAACATGGTACCAAAAGTAGTGCATCTGATAAAGGTATTTTCTGAGTCCAATTTCAGTTCTGTTCTTCTGAACATTTAATTTAGGAACAAAACAAAATAGTTCAGTTTCAGTTTTAGTTCTTGTTTCACAAATACTACCTCAAAAGGTGTCTGATCTGCAATTTGGTAAACCTGTCAAAAAGGACCCAGGGCTAAACTGTGGCACTGTTTGAATTGAAAGACACTGGTACAGGAAAAAGAAAGCCTGATAAAAATGCTCTACAATTTTTTTTGTGAAACTGCCTCAAGGGTCTGTGCGGCTGCTATTCGGCGCCACAAAGTGACCTCGATACGACTTTCCCCAACCGAAGTTAGGTACCCATTCACACCTGGGTGGAGTGAGGAAAGTCGTGTTAAGTGCCCTTCCAAAGGACACAATGTCGGGCACATGTCCATGCAGACATGTACGACTCGGGATCGAACCCGGGTTTCTCCTCTTCATAGTCGAACGATCTACCACTATGCCACCCGATGCCACAAAAAACATCATCCACATGAAACCATCCACAGATGAAACTGTCAATACATAACTTCCCCTATGTTACCCCCCAGGCAGTGCTGAGGTCACAGGGAGTGGTTTCCTGTCTGGTGGTGATTCTTCTCATGACTAAAGCCTTGTCAGGTAAGGTCTAGTGCTGCATACCTAAACCCACATTTAGGTTCGGGTCCAGATTCAAGTCCAGAGGTTTAGCTTCAGTCCCAGACTCGTAAGTCCAGACCTAAACATATCGCACATACCAAATTGCATGTTGGCAACCTTAGAATGTTGTTTGGGGAATAAACTTTCAATTGGTATACACCTTTTACCATTTTTTCAGTGTGTAACATTACAAATTAACAACATCAAATAAGATGAAAGAATGCAATTAATAATTTGTCGGTGAAGGTTAGACAACAAGGTAATAATAAGATGGCAAAAAAAAAAGCTTTTTTTAGTGACAACTCTCCAGTGTCACTGACGAAAAGTTACCGTAGTGGATGGTACCTGAAACGTCTGAATGTTTCCAAAATTATAATCTGTTTCTTAGGTAACTGGTTTTTTGGCAATATGCAATACCTGTATCTGTATCAGTATAGCCGGTATAACCGCCCTTCGGCATAACACACCAGCTTAGCAGGCACGCGGCGCAGCGGCAGCTGGCTATATCACACCGAACGACTTGTTACACTCAATCTTTGCACATTTGATTGCAGGAGTTGTTTGAACTGTTTAGTGACCTGTTTATTGCCATGCAGGTTGTGTTGTGTCCCACCTGAGTGCAGACTGCAGGTACAGCAGACTTCAGCTCGTGCCTGCCCACCTTCCCACAGACATCACGCACCTGGACCTGCGCTGGAACCTGCTGGCCTTCCTACCCAACAGATCCTTCTCTCACCTGCCTCGCCTCCTCAGCCTCGACCTCAGCTCCAACCTCATCAACGACCTTGAACCTGGCGCGTTTGTGAACTTGACCTTGCTGCAGGTGCTGAGTCTCCATGACAACCAGCTCCGATTTCTTCCGCTTGCCATCTTCCGCCCGGTTCCCGCGCTCCGTTCACTCCAGCTGTCTGGAAACCAGCTCTCATCGAATGTCTTACACACCCGAAACCAAGACATCTGGAAGGACCTGAGGCTGGAACGTCTTGACTTGTCGGGTAACTTCCTTGAGACGGCCGCCTTCCCCGAAACGTTTTCCTCCATGAAGTCGCTGAAGAAGCTTCACCTGGCCGGGAACCAAATCTGGGCCTTCTCCAAGGCTGACTTCGCTCCGTTCCGAGGACAAGATTTTGAAACTCTCGACCTCTCCCTGAATCCGACCGCCCGATTCGAACCCGGCTTCTTCCAGCAGTTCAACAGTCTGGATGACCTTGACCTCTCACAGCTTGACCTCTCGCTGCCTGACCTTCAGGCCATCTTTGCCGAGGTGGCAGACCTGAACCTGACCCGGCTGAAAATGAACTATTACGACTTGTTCTACGACCACGTCTTCGCTTCCCTGCAACCCGACACCTTCCAAAACCTCTTCGGCACGAAGCTCCAACATCTCCAACTAAGCTCATCCGCAGTCCAAGACATCGCGGACAACTCCTTCCGCCACCTTCCAGACCTCAGATCCCTCGACCTCTCCCTGAACTCCCTGTCACGCCTTCCTCAACAGGCCTTCAGCGGACTCCTTAACCTTCAGGCCCTCGTCTTAAGCTCCAATCCCTTTCCTCAGATCCCCGGAGATGCCCTGTCAGCCGTGTTGCAAACTCTTCAAACGTTAGAACTCAGCGACGTTATGGTTGATGAGATCCACCCCGGTGATTTCGGGGACCTCCCACAGCTGACCCACCTGTCGATGTCAGGCCAGCTGGGTGGGAGCCTGCAGAAACTGTCTCCAGGCTGCTTCCAGGGTCTCCCCGGCCTCACTGTGCTGGACCTTCGGCAGAACCGGCTGGGTGAGCTGCCTGATGGGGCTTTCTCCGGGTTACAGAACCTCAAGGTCCTTTTTTAATACATCTACTGCACATTTTACTTACTTAATAACAATAATTAGATACAAGACTGGCAATGAAAACATACATTGCCATGGCGACGGTGGTTGCTGTTAGGGTTATTGTTTGCATGGCACTGCCATCATTTCATGATTTTGAGGAAGACTTGGTACCTGTTAAGTCGAGACAGAAGCAGTGCACTTCTCCCCTGAGTGTATAGTGAATGAGCCCCGGGGTCACAGAAAGTCATTCGGGACAAAAGGGTTTCCAGGAATGTGGGCATTGATGTGGATCAGAGACATGCCTGTGGACAAAATGCCTGCACAATTCCTAGAATTCTTGCAAACTGCACACAATACTGTACCATTAGGCTCCTCCCTGAGATGTCGCCAAAAAACAATGTACATTACATCACAGCAAATGCAAACAATAGTCGTAACAAGGACCATCCTCTAGGGTTTACTCCCTAGGACTTCTGTGCAAGGGGTCTTCCCTGGGTTTTTGTGTACATGTATGTGTAGGGTTTTTCTTCCCTGTGATTTACTTATAATTAACACTGATTCTTGACATTGTTGCCTCCAGGTTCTGCTCCTCAACCAGAACAGCATCAGACAACTCGAAGAGACGTCCTTTTCCGGGATGCCCAACCTGAGAGTCTTGGAAATTTCCAGGAACCACCTAATCACTTTGCCGGAATGGATCTTCCAGCCACTACAGAGTATCGAAGAGCTGAAACTGGACAACAACAATCTTTTTAACTTTCTAGGTGTAGTCAAACTTAATGGCCTTGAAAAGCTTAAGCGCTTGAACCTGTCCTCCAACAAGTTAGGTCTCCTCCCAGTCTTTGACCCAGTTTCGACTCTTCAGCTCTTAGACCTTTCTTACAACCAGGTATTTAACGAAAAAGTCACGTATGTTTCCGAGAAGCCCTTCCGAAACTTGTCCAACCTGGTTTATCTAAGCTTGAGCAACAACCAACTGGACGTCATACAAAAGACAGACACCACTAAATTCTTCGAAGGCTTGGCTTCGCTGGAGGTTCTGAAAATGTCACGAACGGGGGATCTGTGGAAAGCTTTCGGCAACACTTCCATACTCCACGCCATGCCGGCTCTGAAAGTTGTCGATCTGAGCTCCAGTGGGATCACGTCTCTCCCCAGGAAGGCCTTCGTGGTTCATGTCCACTTGGAGGGCCTCGATCTGTCTTATAACGAGATCCTATCCTTGCCGGGCCAGCTGTTGCCCCCCTCCCCGACGTCTTTACAAGTCGTCAATCTCAGAAGGAACAGGATTACTGTCCTGCCTGAGAGCAGGTTTGCTTGCTTGTTTGTTTGTTTGTTTATTTAGAATCTTTAGTGACACAAAATTTGTATACATTTGTATACTTCATGTATTTTTAATAATGACCAAAATTTGTTGACCCTATGTAATCAAGATGTTTTTAAGAATTTATGTCACTTGTATGTATCTAACCACAATTTTTCCCCAGGGCAAGCCCTTAATAATAGCTTCAAGCTAGTTGGGCTGCCCTGGCTGTGTTGTACCAGCCGAACCAATCAATAAATAAATAAATAAAATTGTATTATAATTCCTGGAGTCCTTGCTAACATCAAAATACATAGCAATATAATACAAAGAACTAGAAGTGAAATATCATGATTCAAGCTTAAGCTGTAATTTCCAACACAATAAATTGGACTTACCCAAATTAAGAAATTACAGTTCAAACTTGCATCATAATATGATACAAAGCAAATGAAAATATCTTAGTTATTTGACAAAGACTGGAGTTGTACAGTCAAAAATTTGGGTGAGTCCAATTTATTGTGTAACAGTTGGATATTAAAGTTTAAACTTGCTTCATAATCTTTAGTTATTGTTAGCCTTAAAATATCTACATTTCAGGTACGGGTACTTTGTGAGAGGACTCCAAGTCCTGGACCTGAGGGACAACTTCTTCCAGTGCGACTGTGACCTGCAGTGGTTTGTCGTGTGGGCTAACTCCAGCAGTGCTGTGCAGGGGTGGGAGGGGGGCGGCTACATGTGTAACAGCCCCTCCAGCCTGCACAACAAAGCCTTAAGCAGTTACAACCCAGACTGCATGACCTACACCAGCCTCTACACCTGCATTGTTACAACCACTCTCATCTCCCTCTACATCCTCACCTGCTTTGTTGTCCATAGGTACGTTCACACATTTTATCAACAACACTCTGACCTATCATGAAAGTTCATCTGTGTTGGTTACATGTTTAAAGTTAAAACTTTTGGTCAAACACAAAGAGAGGTCTCTTACCTAGAGCTTTCGACCAATCACTCTGGTCTTCCTCAGTAGACTGACCCAGTGAGGCTTGTCACATGTGTTGGACCAAAAGTTTTAACTTTAAACTCAAAACCTCTCACCTGATTGTGTTTTCATTATTTGACTGTGTATTTTGTTAGGTATAATCTACAATCGGAAACTGTTTTACTGTGTGATGTATATTTGGTAATTACTATAAATTGCGCTTGTAATTGTTGAACTTCACATCCTTCATGGTTGAAGGTCAGAGTGATGTGTGTTTTGATTTTTTCAATAAGTTCCGCCAAAAAACATTTACTCAAGCAACTGGATATGATTTCCAAAATCATAACTGTTACGATGAGTTAATTTTTTTCACGTATCTTACTACCTAGATGCCTATCCTTTACCGATGTACATGTATAAATTGTCCACAGGTATGGCTGGTGGTTCAGTTATATGCTTTACATGGCGGGGAGAGCGTTCAGGCACCGAGAGATCGCGGGGAATCCCGCTCGCAGGTTTCGCTACGACGCTTTCGTCGCTTACAGCAGCCACGACGAGCGTTGGATCACCAACGAGCTCGTGCCCAACCTCGAGCACGCCGCCCCGCGGTACCGCCTGTGCATCGGCGCGCGCGATTTTGTCGGGGGCGTGGCGATAACGCAGAACATCGCCGTGAGCGTGGAGGCCAGTCGGAAAACGGTCTGTGTCGTCACGCGAAGCTTCGTGTCCAGCAGCTGGTGCAACTACGAGCTGCAGGCTTCCGAGGGACGGTACCGCGTGTTCGACCCACGGCGAGGGAACCTGGTGATGGTTTTTTATTTTATTTATTTTATAAATAATAATTGTTTATTGATTGATTAATGAGTACAATCTCTAGCATGTGGCAGCGCTACTAAATAAGTTGCGCTGAATTGTATGCTAGTGTTTAAAAACAGAGAAACAAATATTGCAAAGTTAACAAATACTAAACAAGTATCTGAGTATTTCACAGTTGACATTTACAACTCAACAGTAAAGGCAAGGGTGTTGCGTGGCTCAGTGTGGAGAGGGCAATGTAACAAGTAGTGTGGTATTGTTTCAGGTGCTGATCTTCCTGGAGAAGATTCCGGACCACGTTCTTGCGCGCCACAAGCAGCTGAACACGGTCGTGGAACGGGACACGTACCTGGTCTGGCCGTGCGACGTGCGGCGCAGGCAGCTCTTCTGGGCACGACTTCGCGATGCTCTGGGCCAACCCCTGGGTCAGGACGACCGGGTGGATCCAGATGTCATGGAAGAAGAAGACTTTGTCTAACAAAAAGTATGATCAGCACGGTGGGGTCGTATGGCGCAACGGCAGCGTGTGCGACTCGGAATCAAGAGGTCCCAGGTTCGAGTCCTGACATGCCACCGATCTTGTGCCCTTGGGAAAGGCACTTAACATGACTTTCCCCACTAGACTCAAGTGAAAATGAGTATTGTCTGTCCAGTATTCGTTTCTATGTGCAGGACACAACACCAGCAACAGCTGCCTCTGTTCCGCATTGTTGCAATTTCAATAAAATCAAGCTCAGCACGATCAGATACATCCAGATGGGATGTTTCTCAGGAAACAAGCGAGCAGACCATTTCCACACTGTCTGGTGTAATCCTGAACAGACTTAAAGACTTTTAACAAATCACTTAAATCATTGTTCTGGGAACGACTGAAGAACGCTCTGGGCCAACCCCTGGGTCCGAACGGCCAGGTAGATCCAGATGTTATCAGAGAAGTCTTTGTCTAACAAAAAAAGCTTTCACCTCTCAGTGTTTCTGCTAGAGGATAATCTGCTTAGTGGAGGGAATTGCACGAAGAAAAGATGATGCCAAATTTGGCGAGCCCTAGTTTGATTGTGCCTCCTCCAACCATTGCCACCGGATGATCAGGACTTTGCATGTCCCATTCAAACGAGTGGCCCTAGGATGTCACCTGGATTAAAGACTTAATTAGTGGTGCATACCAGTTCACTGGACTTCGATCCGGACTTGTAAGAATGTAAAATTAGGTTCAAGTCCAAAAAAAACTAAAAGTCAAGAACCGAGTCTGGACTTATTACCATAAAAGACCATTTCACATACCCCTTTTCTTTCCAAATCACCAGTAAAACCTTCCATAGATTGTAAAATCTTTGCTGCAAAATGAAGAAACATTGCCATTGGGCATTGTCAAGTACTGGCCTCCATGTTATGTGGCCAAAGTTTCACCCAGACAACATTGCAAGGTTGCCAACATGCAAGTTTGTATATGCCATGGGTTTAGGTCCGGACTTACAAGTCCGGAACTGAACCTAAACCTCTGGACTTGAATCCAGACCTGAACCTAAATGCGAGTTTAGGTATGCAGCACTAGACTTTAATGATTGAAGACTCATTAGATAAAGACTAGAGACTTACCCTGGAAGAGTGCGACGGATCTGGACACACAGAGAAGCCCGTACAGAACAGAGATGCCGACAGCCACCCAGTTAGACGCGATGGTGTAGTGCTGTCGTTTTCTCTCCGTTAGGGTGAAGTGGTAAAGTTTCTGTAAGGATGTAGAATATTAACGTACATGTACAATGTACAATGTGTATGTATAGTTATAGTAAACAGATTTTTCAGGGCTCTTGTATGGGCAGTTTGATGTATTAAATAATGTAGGTTAACTTAAGTGTTTTCATGCTGAAGTGGTAAAGCAGTAAGGATGTAAAATGAAACTGTTGTGGTTCTAAATACACACTAAATACAGGGTTAGCAGGGCTCTAATAATATAAGTAATATGGATGATTCAACGTTGTGGTGTAGTGTTAGTGTTTTTCTCTTTGTCAGTGTAAAACTGTGAACTTACTGGTAAATAAGGAAGCAAATACGTATATACTTTTAGTAGAACATTCATCAATCAGTGACTGTTTTGGAAGGTAGAAAACTGTACACCTTGATCATGGAGTGACCTGGTCTCGCGAAAACACAAGACTATAGGTGGAGACTTGTGTGGATCTTCTGGCCTCCCCTGCCTCCTTGCGGAGTAGAGGTAGGTATGACTTGGGCAGCTCCCACCTAGATATACTTGTACATGTACAACATGCTAATTTAGAAGTTAATACTCATACTAAACACTTACCTGAAAAGAGGCCAGGGTGACGGCTGCACACAGGCAGATCAGTGGGTACACCGGGAACAAGAACCTCTCCTCCTGGGGGTGGAAACAAACAAGGGTTAGCACAAACTTACTGAGAGGGGGGTTAGTGCTTGATGTGCAAGCTGATGCTACTATATACACAGATATTATCAAATTACTGTAGACATTTTACAAAATGGTGGGAGTCAAGGGGACAATGTATGCTGTAGTGGGGAGACAGAGCGTGGAGTGAGTGAGTGAGTGTGAGTGAGTGAATGAGTGTGTGAGTGAGTGAGAGTGAGTGAGTGAGAGTGAGTGAGTGAGTGAGTGAGTGTGTGAGTGAGAATGAGTGAGAATGAGTGAGTGAGAGTGAGAGTGAGTGAGTGAGTGAGTGAGTGAGAGTGAGAATGAGTGAGTGAATGAAAGAGGTACATGTACCTTATGTGGCCTTGTGAAGAAGATGAGTACCCAGATGTACAGGGGAGAGAGTGAGTGAGTGAGTGAGTGAGTGAGTGAGTGAGTGAGTGAGTTGAGTGAGTGAGTGAGTGAGTGAGTGAGTGAGTGAGTGAGTGAGTGAGTGAGTGAGTGAAAGAGAAGTACCTTATGTGGCCTTGTGAAGAAGATGAGTACCCAGATGTACAGGGGAGTGAGTGAGTGAGTGAGTGAGTGAGTTGAGTGAGTGAGTGAGTGAGTGAGTGTGAGTGAGTGAGTGAGTGAGTGAGTGAGTGAGTGAGAGTGAGTGGGTGAGTGAAAGAGAAGTACCTTATGTGGCCTTGTGAAGAAGATGAGTACCCAGATGTACAGGGGAGTGAGTGAGTGAGTGAGTGAGTGAGTGAGTGAGTGAGTTGAGTGAGTGAGTGAGTGAGTGAGTGAGAGTGAGTGAGTGAGTGAGTGAGTGAGAGTGAGTGGGTGAGTGAAAGAGAAGTACCTTATGAGGCCTTGTGAAGAAGATGATTACCCAGATGTACAGGGGAGACAGGGTGTACATCAGCTGATGGGTGGGAACGTAACCCGGAGATCGCTGCTTCAGCATGTTGTCAACAAACAACTGGGAAACAAACAACAAAACAAAAAAATTGTTAAACAACATCTGGTAAACAAATGAACATGCAACAGCATATTATCACAATGTTTGTAACTCGTAAAGGAAAAGTCCATTGTCCAAATCTTTGCTAGGATGTATATTAAGCAGAGCAACTGAGCATAGCCTTAGTAAATCCTAACACTGAAAATCCTGCGTATGGAATACCGTTCTCAAAAATGTCCTAGGGAGTAAACCCTAGCCAAAAAAAGCCAGTGGGAATATGTAACTTTTGTGTGTGTGTTAGTCTGTCTGTCGGTGTGTTTGTCTGTGTGTGTGCGCGTGCATGACTGACTCACCGCGAGAGGCATGGCCACCAGCCCCATCAGTGTGAGTGTGCGTGTGTCTGTCTGTGTGTCTGTGTGTGCACATGTGCGTATGAGACTCACCCCGAGCGGCATGGCCACCAGCCCCATCAGAAACACGATGTTGAAGTTCAGGAAACCGTTCAGGAAGTAAAACGTCCAGGGTTCCACACCTGTATACAACATAACACAACAAATACACATCATAACAACACTTCAACACCTGCACAGTAAACAAAACAACAAACACCATGTAACAACACAGTTCCAGACCTACTGTAGATGGTAGCAAACATGGAATACAAACAGGGCGCGACACTTCCATTTGTGACAAAGGAAAAAATAAACTACCAAAAGCTGTGGATGGATGTTTATGTACTTTTGTGCACCTAACATTGGAGCCGTGGGCCCAAAATTATGTGCACATCCCTTGTGATGAGACTTACCGTATATATCTGGCCCGTGGTCACTGAATACGTTATACAGGACGATGTTGAGGGGAGCAACGACCAGTTTCCCATAGTACACAGTGTCTACCATCATCAGGGGGACCTACGAAAAAAAAGGAAAATATCGTGTCGCTTTCTTATAGATATTTGAGTTTATATTCAGTCTATTCTACCATATTCCTGTGTTACTAATTGTTGATGACTAACGCAACTACAGAGTTATGCAGTGTCACTGACGAAAGGTGGATACTACCTGAAACGTCTGACTGTTTCCAAAATCATATCCAGTTGCTTGAGTAACTATTTTTTGGGGCGTATCTTATTACCTGGATGTCTAACCTTCACCAACGTACAGAGTTATGCTTTAAATCATTTCATAAAATTTTAGATTGGAGAAAAAGAGTCATCCATAACAACTTAACCACCAAATATTTTGCAACTCTTTCACAGAAGAAAATTAAGGACTCACCAGTACTAGACACAGAGAGATGATGACCCACTGACAAAACAGGGCGACACGTTGTCTTCTCAACACCAGGTCTACAGCTATGGGGATGCTGAGGGGGGAGGGGGGCAGTAAAGGTCGTTAGTCAAGGTCATAACTTCTCTTCTCAACACCAGGTCTTACTGCTATGGGGATGCTTGGAAGTAGAAGGACAACAATAATGTCAATTTTTTTTGTCACAAAATTCATAATATCCATCTTTTCTCTAGACAAGTAAGCTCTCTTTGAAATATTACAAGTTGCCACTGTAGCCCACTATGTACCTAAGTTGGTAATCTATGATAGGTTATTGATAAAGTAAATACATTGTACATGTATAATGGTTGACCGACAAAGTTGAGTTATCAGAACTGCACTTACCCCAGCGCCGCTGCAAACGGCCAGCCTACTATGGCACTCACTGCTATACTGAAAATGGCCACCTGCACAAACAATATGTGTTTAGTGATAAGTTTATGGCAAATTCCTGCCTGAAGGATTATTGCAAATAACAAGGATGAAAGAACATTGAAACAGAGTGCAAAATAGCTTAATATCTGAATTGTCTAAAACTATACCTATGTCTAAAACCGTTAGTCTTTGGATTCTTTCTTCTGGCTTTTTTTTTGTCTCGGAAGACGAATTGATATCAATGACAAATAAATAAATACAAATCATATAAAGATACATGTCTTGTTGACGATGGTTAAAGTTGAAAAGTGAAAGGTTACAGTTGAAAGGTTAAAGTTGAAAGGTTAGTGTACTGACCCCGTCGTAGTGAGTCCACCAGGCTGCCATGGCGACCATGGTCCAGATCATGGAGAAGGAGCTCGGCAGGAATGCTGGGAAGGGACCAGGTAGAGGTCATTTCAAGGTCACGCTGTATACAAACATTTTTTTTTCTATCCTTTCCGTTATAATATTTTGTAGAAAGGGAGATGGGCACCAAAAGTTGTAAGAATCTTTTGAGCTCCAGAAATCTAACTGCTTGAGTGATGGTGTATTTGAAAGGTGTATGTATATGCTGAATGGTGTATTTGTAAAATGCAAACTCTTGCATCACAAAGAGGCTGAACATCTAAGTTTTGCACAATGAAACAGAGGGCTGTGTTACTGGTACTATACATGTACCATGAAAACCAATTACTAGTACATGTAGGTACTTGTCCTAAATACCCAATCACTATTTGATTTGATTTGATTTTATTGTTTGCACATTAACAAGACGGACAATAATAATAATATAAAAACAATGATAAAACAGGTGCAGGAGGAGGGGAGAAGCATGGCGTGCTTATACGGCGTGCTATGTACCAATGTAAAGTTACATTTCCCTAGCGACCTCATGCGACAAAATGATATCTAGAGGGAGCATATACTAGTACACAGCAGATCTGTCAGTGACAGCCTGAAGACTGCAGGACACTTCTACTAGTATCATTATTACCTGTAGATGAGATGAACATCCCGGTACTGAACAGCAGGAAACACAGCGTCATCCTGCCCACATGGGCTCCGAACTTCTTACAGATCCCCCTGGAACAACAATAAACACATAAACAAACAAACAAACAAACACAGTGTCATCCTGCCCACATGGGCTCCAAACTTCTTACAGATCCCCCTGGAACAACAATAAACAATTAAACAAACAAACAAACAAACACAGCGTCATCCTGCCCACATGGGCTCCAAACTTCTTACAGATCCCCCTGGAACAACAATAAACAATTAAACAAACAAACAAACAAACACAGCGTCATCCTGCCCACATGGGCTCCAAACTTCTTACAGATCCCCCTGGAACAACAATAAACACATAAACAAACAAGGAAACATAAGATCTTCCTGCATAGGCATTTTCTCAATCTACTAGTAAGAGTTTAACCTATTCAATGTTGCCTTTAGCTGTAACCTGTAACCTGAGGATTACAAAATACAAGTACACCTGGCTTGATTGTAGATGGTTGGAGAGTTGTTCTAGCCTCTACCAGGCACCGCGGATCGTTGGAAAAATAGTAGAAATTGGCCGAAATAAAGGGATAGTATACCAGAGAAGATCCCAGGCCATAGAAGATCTGTGGGGTCGCGAATTGGATCTTCTATGGCCCGGGATCTTCTCTGGTATAGTGTCCCTTTATTGCTGCCAATTTCTACTATTTTTCCAGTGATCTGCGGTGCCTGGTAGAGGCTAGAGTTGTTCACCTACTTGTAGAAGTTAAAGCCTCTGCCAGTGCACAGAAGAACCCGAGAACACAGCGGATGAAGTAGAAGTTTAACCTACTCCATGTCACCCTTTTTCTATAACCTGTAACTTGACGATTACTTGCACATTATTGTTTCAGACCTCCATGAATTCAAAGTTTACTGCACCTACTTGTAGAAGTAAGCCTCTGCCAGTGCGCAGAAGAAGCCCAGCACACAGCGGATGAAGTAGAAAATGAGGACTTTGTTGGCCTTGAGCAGTCGGCTGTGGAAGAGCGCGGGGAGGATGTGGAGCCAGACATACGCGTATGACCGCAGACCGTACGCCGGGGAGTACTCCCACGTCTGGAAACCCTTACCGTACATCAGGTAGTGCGTCTGGGGGAGAAAAAGGTACAAAATCTGGTTTCAAACTTAAGTTATCAGACTATAGAAACCCTTACCGTACGTCAGGTAGTGCGTCTGGGGGGGGAAGGAAGTTTTTTTAGCTCAAAATGTACAAAATCTGGTCTCAAACTTAGTTGATGAAATTAAATGCTGTCAGCCTCTGACATACCAGTATATAGAAACCCTCCTACAGAACAGAACAGAAGTGGTGCAAAAACAGTATGCAAACAGTAATTTAATGTGTAAAGAAACAGCACAGAAATAACACAGAACTAGAAAGGTAACATTTGCAAGCAAAATTCTTACTCACAATGCTAAGTATATGATCAGACAGGAGTCTAAATCCCTCCTGCTATAAAATTGCAACATGACGTAACCCAACACCAGTTACCATGGTGACAGAGTTGTATTGTTCAGGTCTTTGACCTTACTAGTATTTATTTGGAGAAGAAGAGGAAGAAGAAACAGTGCAAAAACAATATGTTCGGTAAACATAAAAACCTTACATGGCAACAGTATAGGATTAGGAACAGCAGAAAATCAGCAGAGAAACAGCATTGAACCGCAGTTAAGCAGATGAACAGCCCACTCACAGGTTCCCAGTAGTTGTAGGTCTCGTCGCAGTCGGAGATGTTACTGAGTAGAGCAGCACAGAATCTCGCAGACAGCAGAACTTTGAACGCCGTGTGGAAACTGGGCGCCCAACAAGACTGGACAGTCACCACTTCCTCTTCTCTCCTCTCATTGCCATGGCTCTGTCTGGGAAAACAACAACTATTAATACCTGCACTTCTCACTAATTTAACTAGATGGCAGCACTGCATGGAAGCAATACACCCAACAAGACTGGACTGTCATCACCTCCTCCTCTCTCCTTCACTGCCATAGCTCTGTCTCTGAAATGAAATGTGTATCATTCACTATCAACATCTGCTTACAACTGGGTGTTTTAGAGCCTGCAGTTCATACAACTCTCGCTAGGTGGCAGGACTGCACTGTACATGCTGCAGTCAGCTTTGCACGCACCTCAGCAAAAATCACAACCGAGCGGATATGCCGTAACACATGCATCACAAGGCCATGCATAGCTATTTTCTACAACTTTTCGGTGTATTTCCTCCAACTAGAGATAATTATGGCCTCGCTTTGCGCATAAACAGCTGAGTAAGCCTAGGTTTTACATGCACGCTTGACTGCCGGACAAGCAAGGATACCCCTCACATATCCCTCATTCTTTGCGCAACGGGGGCGATTCCTGCGCTAGAAATTTTCAGACAAAATGCCCGAATTTACAGAGAAGTCGCTAAAATTTTGCTATCGTTTTTAGCACCTACTTTTCGGCGTGGTGAGGCCGCAATCTCGGCGGAGGTTTCCCGGCTCGATTTCGCGATCCGCCCGCCATCTTGGTTTTTTATTTACCTCGTACCGAGAAACCCTTTTTTGACCCCGGTTGACCGTATGTAAACATGACCGTACAGACTTTGTTCCTGGGATTTAAGGACATATTTTACTCACTATTTGTACAGTATGAGTTTGTTAACATTTTATGACAAGTTTTCTGTCAGAAATTTTCTATGAATGGAAAATTCCACTTTTCTTGTTTTCACTGTAGCATGCTGGGACTTTCTCTTTGGGGTGTGGGGTAAATATTGAGTCAACCGTTTCAATGGATTTTGATGCCTAATAAAATAGAACCTAAAAATCGATCAAAATATTTTAATCTTTAAACAAAATTTATTATTTTACCTTCAGGTAATTTTTAAAGTTATTAAATTGTAGTTATATTTCAACAACTTGAAATGAATATGATATTGACGGCAAAGTTATGCGTCAAACTAAGTAGGCACTGATAGTAACACATAGGTCAGCCCTAATTCTCAAAAAGGAAACAAGATGGCGGCGCCCATGGGCTGAAGGACGCCATTGCATCATATTCCTGAACTTTGTTCGGCCGGCGCGCGAGAAGTTTAACATTCAGCAGTTTTCTATGCGGTTGTGCCGACAGACGGGCCGGCTGTTTCTCCGCGCCATGAGCTCGGCAACGTTCCCGCACTCCGAGGCGCTGGTGCCGTACGCGCCGCCTGCCTGGGCCGCCAAGCTCCGCGGCGTCCCAAAATATCGTCTGCAGGTATTACATTTAGTTCACCTGACTAGCTACTAGCTTCACCAGTCTATTGATCTTAGCCAAATGTATATGCAGAATAATTTGCCAGGGTAGTTTGCCAATCGTAGTTTCATTTTCCAAATTATGTCACTCTCGAGCCCTCCAGGCCAAATATATATATTTTTTTTCCGAACTTCTATAAATTAAGTATGAAATCCCACAGGTGGTTAGATTACGTCATGGTTTGGCAACTTTCTGACTATGTTACGGTTAAGATAACCATTATTTTGTTGTTGTTGTTGTCGGCTTACAGAACAAATGTTTCATTGTCTAAAAGCCAAGTTGAGGTTTTTCTCTGCTGTTTAATATTAGGGAATTTGTGAAGATGTTTCTTGCTTTTTTTTTTTAGCTTTTCCTTTTGCAAGGTACATGTAATTTGTTGTTGTTGCTGCCATTGTCTATGTCAACTTTCATTTGCAAATGTTGAAAATATGACAGAAAAGATAACTAACAGTTTTCAATGTGCTCAATGAAAGAGCCAATCAAGACTGTTATGAGAGATTTTTTTCTTTAAATAGTAGGGTGGGATAGAATTCTCTGCCACTCAGAAACCAATTGTTCAGCCAAGCAGGTTAACCTCCTTGCATATACACTGTCCAAATTACATTTTGTACTATTGACGAGTACTACTAGTACAATACAAAGTCTTTAGATCTTTAACAGAAGTGCAGAATGACTGTCTGATTGAAGCCCACGCCCCGCTAGTCTCCACCGGACTGGCGGGCAAATGGAGCTTCTCTGGCCGGCTACCTTCTCTCGCCAATTAATACCCTTTTTAGGCCGATTTCTACGATTTATTCACCCCGCAAAAGAAGTCTGGTCGAGACTAACGCCCCGCCCTGTGTGAGCATGTATGCTGTATTATTATAAGCAAACTGCCTGAGATATAGTAAATCTCAGGCAGTTTGCTTATCAGGACAGTCTGTGTGTTTACAAGTCAGTTCTGTGACAGGTCAGTGACAGGCAGAGGGAATGATTGTTTCCTCTCAAAATAAGACTTAGGCACCGCCCCTCAACTCAGGGCGTTATGGTATCCAGAACCGTGCCTATCTAGTTCTATGCCTGAATTAGGCACAGTTCTGGATAGTCTCCGCATATCCAGAGCATAGATTTGCCCCAGGCACAGTTCTGGATTCGCATGGACTATCCCGAACTGTGTCTGACCACGGTTCTGGATATAACAGGTGTGAAGCAAACAGGTAAACTCAAGACAAATTAGTTACTTTACTGTAAATTCATTTATTTTCACAGGGACTTAATTTCACTGACACAGCAGATGGAGGTTTAGTTTACCATAGGCTCGTACTCCTGGCCTAATATTTGCGCAATTTTTGCTGAATTTTACTGTCCGTAAACTGTCCTGAAGGGGGCTTATTGTGATGTAAGCCTGAGAACATTTGCACAGCTGACTAGCCTTTCTGTCAGGTCAGGCGATGTTGCTGGAGGGCGTTTAAAGGTCAAGTCTGACCCAGAACCATGGATGATGCAACGTCCGGCTGTTATCAGGGTTCTGCAGACGTTTGGTGCCATTTGGAACCCCTTACGCTGACAACTCATACATGTGCCTAACCACACAGAGCTGTGGAAAGATTTGGCACACAAAAACCCAGACAAACTTGTAAAACACAGATGGAAGTTTTCCTATTTATACTTGTCAACAGACATGAAACAGCTTGGGAGAAATGTGTGTAACATCTGATTCATGCACCAAAATCTGCAACAGTTGGAAGGCATTGTTTCTGCATTTCTCTCGTCGACATATAGGTGGCGCTTTTGTAACATGACTGCTGCAATGGTGGTCACTGAGAAATATGAGCCATTTCTCAAGTTAGGGGTTGATTTGGAAGCAGTGCTCAGGTGTACACTCTCCTTTCCTTAACATCTCATCTTCCACTTTCTCATCCTTACATCCCCCCCTTAAAACTGTATGAAATTGTATGAAAGTGTCCTTGATAGTTCTGCACTTACGTAAATAGGAGTACAAGAGAAGTTTGTGTCATATGATATTTACTTGCACAAGTAACAAATGAACAAAATCACAGAAGTAGGTTCAATTTCAGTTCCTTTATTACAAAGAGGCTGAGTTTTCAGGCTTGTCATTCATAGTTACGTTTTCATTTATTTGGCATGATTATGTACAACGTTGCCATAGCAACAGCTTATAAAAGCTACCCAATAAACTAACAGTGAGGCACAGCAAGTTTTTAACCCTTCATGCTCTAAGTCAATTTACAGAAGACATCTAAGGACCCTGATGAGCACCCCTTAGTGCACTAAGGGTTAAAAACTTCCAACAGTTTTGGCACAGCACAAAGAAATGATTGCATGGAAAGTGGCCCAACAAAAACAAATAAATGCTGTAACATTTTTTTCTTAAAACATGATATTCTTCTGAACATACACACTTTACTATTATTATTATATAATTTAAATTAACAAAAACCCTGAACTTTTTAAAGTTTTTGTTAATAGCTCAACTGAAATATTTACAGATAACTGGACGGGTATAACAAACCATCTGAGTTTAACAAAAGTACACAAATTTGAAAAATTCATCCTAGAGCTTAACTTTTGTATAAGTAGCCATAGATTATTACAAAGGACTTCTCTGGGAACAAAAGAAAAATTCAAATACAATGTAGTTACAAAAAAGAATACTGAACTTGAGCTTTGACCTTCGAGTACACACAACATTTATCTAACCAAGGATAGAATTTATAATTTAAATCTGTATTAAAAATAATTTATTCAACAGGTTTGGGACATCAACTTACGAAAAAGAAGCACTTTTCATCCATTTTACAAACATTTTCCTTCCATTTTTTTTTCTGACATCAAACTTTCTCCTTCTGATTTCAATAAACCAGGGTCCTGATTGGTTCGAATATATACCATGTTTTCATTGGTTAATGCTTTTAACCAATGAAAATCCTTCTCAGTCACATAACATTCTTCTATTTGCTACACTCTGCTACACAAGTATTCTCATAAACCCTTTTAAGTGCCATAAAATGTACATAAGACCATACATGCTACATATCATTACTATAGTACTATATATATGCCATTTACAGGTGATATTTGCATGATATTTGCATAATTTATGTACAAGTGCTGGGATTGGTCCTCAGGGTATGTACAGCATGCTGATGAGCAGGGTCGTCACCATGGTTACGGTCACCAGGGGTGATGTTGTCATCTTGTCGGCAACGTTGTCGGGTGGGGATGTGGTAGCACTCATCTGGGAATCAGCTGATATTAAAGAAAAGACAATTTTAGATTTAGTTTGCCCTCCCAAAAAAGGAAACAAACCTGTACAAGTGACAACCCCTACATGCATTATAGGACCATACATGTATCTGGACAATGATATACAGTCAAAGTGACCACCTCTACATAAGGACCACCTTGCCATTGATATGTATATTAGTACACTCAAACCTGTATTACTGACAACCTCTACCTATGGAGGGTTTTTTTTTCTCATTGATACAAGCATCATTCAAGAATCCAACAGTCCACAGAGTCAATTTTATCAGTCCCAAGTGGTCTTTGGGGCAGTTTTGATGCCCAATGAGCTGGACAAGACACAGTGTCATGTCAGATGTGTTCTAAAATGTGACGAGACTCACAAAAGACAGGTGTGTTAAGATGTGAGTAGGACAAGTTTTGGCGAAGACATTAGAAAAAGCATCTTGAGAAGACCTTACTAACGACAGGTGTATTCTAAGATGTATCTAGACAAGACTCACCAAAGACAGGTGTGTGCTAACAGGACTATACAATACAGGTGTGTTCTAAGATGTACATGTATCTTCAGAAGACCCACAGCATCTTGCAATTTGTAGATGTGTTCTAAGATATATCTAAACTAGACTCACCGAAGACGGCGTCCTGACAGGTGTGCCCGCAGCCGTTGGAGCAGCAGAGTTGTCCTGTGGTGCAGCTGGAGTCGTTACTGCAGGCCTCCACACAGGTGCCCACCTGCCCCGGGGTCACCTCAGGACACTGACCTGCGCAACAGGGGTCAAGGTTATCACACTGTCTCCAGCATTATCTGTATCTGTATAGCCGGTATAACCGCCCTTCAGCGTAACACACCAGCTTCTGTATCTGTATAGCCGGTATAACCGCCCTTCAGCGTAACACACCAGCTTCTGTATCTGTATAGCCGGTATAACCGCCCTTAGGCGTAACACACCAGCTTCTGTATCTGTATAGCCAGTATAACCGCCTTTCGGCGCAACACACCAGCTTCTGCATCTGTATAGCCAGTATAACCGCCTTTTGGCGTAACACACCAGCTTCACAGGCACGCGGCGCGGCGGCAGCTGGCATTAGCCATGTTGGCTTTGATTTTAATGACATGGCATAAACTGGTGTCATACATTGAATTGAAACATGACATGAACGAACAGAAATGTCCCCCTTTCCTTTCGCACTTGGATCATAGCAGTTTTAAACCTTCATTTTCAGGCAACATGTACATGTATACAGTATTTAATGGTGATGATCAGATTAATACCATCAATCATCATATATATATAGATCAATATAAAAAGGTGTAAAGGTTGCGTAAAAGTTACTTACCGGATGTCGTATCACCTGCATTTTTCTTCCCAAATAAGGCAGGACCTATGGCAAGACAAAAAAAGCATGATTAACATCAAGCATTCTTGTACATATAAGTCAGACTTGTCTTGATAAGCATTGATAATGATGGAGAGAAAAGGACATGTATAACCTAAGTACTAGTACATACTGTATGATGTACTATTAGTAGTGAATAGTACTGCAAGTTGGCTCTCTGATAGTGATACACTGCAACACATTTGAAGAAAGCTTGCCAAAATATCTTGGACAACTAAGGAGACAAAGTGTGTCACATGTACACGTGTACAGCCACCAAGTCTTTTATTCTTGCATTTAGAAGTGCAGAGTACTGCCAGCGCTCAATCTTGTTAACAGAGTGTAAGAAAACGGTTTTGCGCAGACGCTTTTCTGATCAGCTGGCTGGCAGTGCTAAACAACACGAAGTACAACCAAAAACTTGGCCTTGGTCCAACCCTGTAGCACCTGGCCATTGAGACCCTGACACACCTTTGAAACATGACCTGTCATCACCATGGTAACCAGGTAACCGTTCAGGTGGGCTACAAGGAGCCTGTGTTTGTGAATGAATGGGGGTGACAAAGGTCTTGGCTGGGACCCAAATGGTGCAGCAATGCTGCGACTTTGTCAGGTAGTTCCAAGAAATGTTGATGACAGAAGTTGACAGCGGTGGTTCCTAGAAATGTTCATGTTTTCATGGGTGTTTGGTAGCTGCTTGTTTATATTTTGTCTTTCCTGGTAGTGGTTTTTGTATGAGAGGCCAAAATGTTTTGGAGGTTAGGATTTTGGCTTAGGGAAAAGTTGGTATATTGTAAGAAAGGCCTGGATTGCAAGACCATTGCAAGACAACAAAATGCTGTCTTGGTTTAAGCTGTGTTCTTTCATAGCACTTTTTGAGCTCTCTCTAGAATGTACAAATCCACAGATGAGAAAATACAACAACACTTGAGCCCAGTAATTGACGTGGGATCTTTTCTTTACAGAAGGTCCTGCATTGTTTGAACAACTGCATAGGGGGTGCATTCCAGTAGGGATTTTTGTACCAGCCTAATATCTATACAACCAGTGTGGCTAGGGGAATTGGTACATGTAGATGAAAGCTTATAGCTTGTAGAACTAAACCTCCAGTAATGTTAGCTGTAAGGCACCAAACCTGTATTGGTTTTGGGGCTAAGCAGAAGGGTTGAACATGGAACAGACATCTTTGAATGTGTGCTCCATGCCACTATCAGTAATACACACGTACACCAGACCTAGAATCAGGACACCTGACCACCAAAACATGCATGATAACAGGCCACTGCAGGTTGTTGCACTTTGGACTTAGACTGGGACAGTTTAATTTGGCAGACTGCTGGCCTTGTCCTCAACTGACTTAAAACTACGCCAGCTGAAAAATAGTAAAATTGGTAAAAATAAGGAAAAATTTGCTGGGGACGTTTGGCCACAGAGTTAAGATTGAAAATGTACCCTTTACAAGATTACTTTGAGTCACTTCAGTGGCCAAAAATCCATCTTATTTTTTGGCCAAATTCTACTGCCTCTAACCACTTGGGCCCAGTGGAACCTAACTCAGAAAGGCTACCTCAGTAGTAACTGGAAAGCTAGGCTATAAGAATAAAACCCATCTGTATCTGTATAGCCAGTTTAACTGCCCTTCGGCATAACACACCAGCTTCGCAGGCACGCGTCGCGGCGGCAGCAGGCTACATTACGACCAAACGACTTGTTACACCCAACCCTTCGGACATCTAACTCTTAACATTAGGCCCATGCTTTAAATACTTAGCCTGGAGTCCAGCCTTGTTAGCTTTGGTCCACTCCCCAAGCAGATCTTGGTGAGCAGACCAAAGCTAACAATACTGGACTCTAGGCTAACTAGGACTAGTAGTGGTGCCAGTAAAACATGTTGAATGGTAACCAGGCTACCGGAATGTACCGTACAACAGTGTGCATTTCTGTAGACTGGAGTCCATTGGACTTTGCACTGTCGGTCATTGTACTTTGCACCATAGCTGGACTCTGAACCATCACAAATCACTGCCCGACCGACCGGTTAGTATGAGGAGATGTAAACACAAGATGACGCACAAGTCTGGCGGCCTGTGCACACAAGGTTCTGGCAAAGGTCCAGCTAGTCATGCCACAATATAATACACGTTTACATAGTCTTATCGTAACACTTCCGAGAACTTTTGTGCACTGAAACAATGTCGTATCTGATATAGAGCACAATGGTAAGATTTCTGGCTCGAAAAGGACTGTTTGAAACATTGTAAATGTAAGATTGTTGTATTGGCAAACTTGGAATGTCATTTGGACTGGTGCCTATTCCAATATCTGCCATTTCCTCCACAATTTCGAGTTTTTGTCGCCAACTTTTTCAACACACCATTTTTTTTTTAATTTTTATTTTTTAACCCAACTGCATGTTTTACAAAAGAAGGCCCTTGCCAACCATCCATCCTTTTGTAAAAAAAAGATTGTTCATAAACTCGAAATAGTTGGCAACATGCAAAATTTGTATGTGTCATGCCAGAATTCGTATTGTGACAATGACTAGACCAAGACAACTTCCTCCAAACCCACATTTTGTCGTGACTGTTGTGTTTGTGTGTTGGCCCGTAAGTTACGCCCATCTACCATGCAAACACAGCGTTACTTAACCTACTTAGCTGTATCCTGTTTCAACCTACTTCTTACGGGTGGTAAAATGCTAAGAAAGGCCTTGCATGACCAGTTAAGATATATAAAATGTTAACGTTACAATCTATCTCAAAGTGGAAGAAGTTAAGCCGTTTTGTTTCACCAGAAAATTACCTGTTCAACCAGAAAACGATCTAAGCCGTTTCCGAGAAAATCGTAACATCCTGTTTCCGAGTTTAGATCCTAGCTTCCTGGTCATTTTTCTGCTGTGTCATTTTTTATAGCGTTTCGTAGCATTTGTATGTAGAATCTTAACATTCCTGGCAAGTAACTTAGTATACACTGTTTAGTAGCCATAGAACATGTTTAGTATAATTAGGTATAACTGCTCACTGTACCCTTCATGTGTATAGTCTAGCGTAATGTAGAATGTACATGTAGAGTCGAAATATTCTCTAGCCAGTAGCTATTAATAATACTCTGTCAGATACAATGTCCGTTGACCATATATATAGCATTATGTTAGACACATACCAACTAGTAATCTTATTATTTGCCATACATTGTACCCGTGACAATCGTTGTGCAATAAACTTTGACTTGACTTGACTTTTCGTGCTTTCCCAGTTTCTGTGCCTGTCTTGGTGCAGTTTTCTTTTGTATCGTAACTGGTCAGACGTCTTATTATGTGAAAGTTACTTGCTCTAATTAAAGAGCAAGGAAAATTGCTCTGACCCAATTAAGACAACAACGGGTCCGGTCTCAACCACACGTCACCATGTAATGTACACACAACCAGCTATTCACTGGATATTTTAGTCAAGCGGTTCCTTCCGTTTTAAGTTGCTGATGTTAGTGACTGAATTTAGAGGTTTGTACACTTATTTAAGGATCTGAAACAATTTTGATCGGAAGAAAAAAACGCAAGGAAAAATGTGAAACCAGAGCCACAAAAGATCCGTACCGTTCTATACAAAATACCGGCATGGCGGCATACCCCACAACACTTGTCCCGAAAAGCCGATCGCCGTTTCTGTGTTTGTATTTATCGAGATATGCTCGGATTTGGGATCAAATTGAGTAGAAAGACTTACCCAAAGCTATGAATGCGACCAGGATGGCGGTGAGCTTGAAGAGCATTCTTCTGATCCTTTTTTTTTTTGTTCGAGCTTCGTTCTGTGTTCACGCCTTCTTTCTTTCCCAACCAACGTGGCACGGCCCGTTGTCTGTCTGTCCGCCGGTGGAATGTCCGTTAAATCGCCGCCGATTCTCGTGCTGCGTCCCGCTGACACACCCTCACGTGTTTCAGACGACCTGAGGAAGAGTTCTGCCGAAAATCTGACGGAAATGCGGCGATTTGAGCGGGTAAAAGGCGGAAATTTTAACCCCTACTACCCTTTCTGAGCGCTTGTAGTAACTAAATGCCGGTAGATCAGACGAGAAATGTTGTGATTCCTCACGTGACCCACGGAGGTGCGCCGGGGGCCCGCCTGACCAAATATGGGCATCCACTCGTATGCAAATGAGGCGTCGCCACGGTGACGGGGCGCTGATTGGTCAGTAATTTTATCCCTGTGGGGCCGCACGTGAGGAGAATTTTCGTTCCCTTTTCGTCACGGGGACATTCCTGGCAGTTCAGAATTCCCCGATATTTCGTTACGGCGTATTCTTACCTTTCAGGTACAATAATATTCCAGTTTAAGAGGTTTTTGTAGGTGTTTTACCCTTTTTTTGAGTGACCTTAAACGGCTAACGCCCTGAGGGCCGTTTCGGGGCGTGACAAGGGCGCGGTCAACGCAAACCACGTACGGAAGAGTCCACTGTCGCTGGGCAGGGGGGGGGGGGCAAAGAATTTTTATTAAAACCAACTTGTGGGCGAAATTTTCAGATTTTCGCGGTGGAAACAAATTTAAATGAGCAAATCTTAAGTTTTCAAATAAAATAAACTGTAAGATTTTTTTTCCAACAGCTGCAGGCACCTCACTCACTCACTCACTCAGGACCGCATGCTCCGGGGAGCGTCGCGCCTTTCCAAGTTGACTTCCAGCCAGTTCTGTCCTGCGCCCTCAGCCAGGCTGTAGCTGTATCAAGGCCCACTGTGCTGAGGTCTGCATTCAGCTGGTCTCCCCACCTGCGTCTGGGTCTGCCTCTGGGTCTGGACCAGCCTGCAGGCGTGGCTGCCCTCAGTAGACTGGCAGCTTCCAGGGGTGGCTCGGCTCTGGCTAAGTGACCAAAGAGTCGCATGCGGGCCTGTCTGATCTTGTGGGAGACGGGCGGCTGACCAGTTTTTTGGCGTATCGTGGAGTTGGAGACGAAGTCATACCAGCGGTAGCCAAGGATCCTGCGCAGGCATTTTTGGTCGAAAGTGTCCAGGTGGCGCTCCTCTGTGGCTGTGAGGGTCCAAGCCTCTGCCCCATAGAGTAGGACAGAGAGCACTAAGCTGTTGTACAGCCTGAGCTTAGTGGCAGTGGATATCTGGCCATTGGACCAGATGTGGTTCAGACTGGCCATTGCTGCAGACGAGCGGCCGATACGGATCTTGATGTCGGCGGTGCTTCTACAGTCGGAGGAGATGGTGCTTCCTAAGTAGGTGAACTTGTCCACCACTTCTACGCTGTTGGACTCGATCGTGAGGTTGGAGGTGCAGGCACCTGCTCAGAAAAAATATATAATTGATGATCTAACTCTGGTACGTTACCATTACTGTATGTAGCAAGTTGGAGGGGCTGGTCATCATCTATATGGAGGATGAATAAACAAAGCAGTAGTTTGTAAGACCATTTCTATGCTGTCAAGGTAAACATGTGTAATTTTTTCATATTGATTGCAAATGTAATCTTTATTTATTCCAGTTCATCTTTTATAGGGGTTTTCTTTTACACAACCAATGCTAGTAATGTTACATGTATTGTCTCATACCTTGCTTACTTTTTGGTGTCTATGGGCCACCTGCATTGGCTACATTTAAGCGGCTAGAACTGCAGTCAGAAGCTCTATGAAAGGTGTATGATAGATTCTGAAATGTAAGCAGTAAAAGATAAGAGCCAATATTGGTTGGGTAAAAGAAAATCCCATATCCTATCCTTTACCAACCTGATGAAACTATTTTCAGAAATTCATCCTTTTTAATCAAATTTATTCCTCCCTCCCCCCAGCTTGGGCAGCTGAACACCCCCATCCAGAGATGGCGCCTGCCCGACCTGCCCGAGGGGGTGGAAGTCTTCATCAAGCGGGACGACATGACGGGCAGTACGCTGTCTGGGAACAAGGTATTATGGGAAATCTCTCCAGCTTGTTTCCAATGCAATTTCAGGGCGGCAAAATGCAAAATATTTTGGATGAGGAAAGCTGCCATTTCTTATCACAAATTTGTCATCATTTCAAACTTGAAGCATTTGAAATAGCCCCTAACAAGCTATAAAGAATATGTCTCTTCGTTTTGTAGGTACCACCCATAAAAAGCTAGAACTGGCCTACAATACAAAATAAGCAACCATTTTCCGTCAGCAACATCGCATTTTAGGATGGTATATGCCTTATAAGAAAGTGTACGCTGGACCCTTTTAAAGGAATAAATACCAATTTGGACTGAACAAGGAGGTTGTATTTCACCTTCTTGGACTGAATCACTCTGGCCTCCTTCTAACTCTATCTTTTGACCTAAATTGACTTTTACTTCATTGAAATTGCAACAGGGCAATATGATGTGGCCACAATGTGATAAGATTAATACAGTTGAAAATTTTGGTGAGAAATTCTATGAGTTGTGCATAAAACCACGATAAAACTCAAAGACCCTGTGGGGCTTAATAAGTGCAGGCAGTTGGAGTCAGACAAAGTCTGGACACTGCCAGTTCCCAGCACTTTACACCACCTGGCTGGCAACAGAGAAATCTGAGTTGTTTAGTCTGCAAATTTCCGCGGGTGCAAAGTCCAGTCATGTGCCACATCTTCACCTCTATTCGATAGATATAAATGATTCTTCTATCGTCATAATCTTAACAGTGCATGTACCACCCTGTACTTTGTACAGTACTTTGTACAATACTTTGTGAGGGCCTGCTAGGGGGGTCCCGACAACGCTCTACGCTGAATTCGGAAACCTCCCAATTAGGCTTTACGATAAATTCCAAGTGGCTACAACGCATTACGTAGAATTAAAACAGCAAATTAAGATCTACGCATAATGCGAAGAGCGGTCCGTCTACGCTCTACGTAGAATTAAAACGGCCGATTACGCTCTGCGGAAAAGGGCTTGCAGGCCCCCCTTTGTACGTCTGGTATACGTACTAGTATATGGTAATAAAACGTGGATTGAGCAATCCACTGTTTGGTCTGCAGCTTTTAGGAGGTCCAAAGTCCTGTCATGTGCCGGCCGGCGACGGGGCGTTGTCGGGGCCGTAAAGTGGTGTGTCTGGGATCCTCTGCTCTGATTGGTCGCTCAGGGTCTGTAAAATTCCACTTGCCAAGAGTCGAGTCACGTTTTCGACACCTCGGTAAAATGTGCGGCCTTCACCCTAGAGGGAGAAGGAGAAGAAAAAGACGGGGTTTAATTTTATTTCACACTTCGAAATATGATACTGTACCTCAAGGGCTAAGTTGTAGGTGTACTACATAATATGTACATGTATATGAATACTAGAAATTACCTGGAATAGTAATTGGTATGAGACAAAACAATAGATTGGTGTATTATGAACCAATAAATTCTTATGCTTGTCCTGTTTACAGACCATTGAAGAAACTTTTATGTGCAAGAGAGTACTAGTATGTCGCTTCTGTCAGGACCTACATCTAACCACAAAATGATGTACATGCTTGTACATGATACATGTATAATTGTTAGACAAGCAAATTCTTCTTTTTTAAGTTGTATTTTAATGTCTGTCCATGCCGGGGGAAGAGCCTGTGTATAATGTCCTTGGTAAAAGTGATCACACCTATCAACCCTTCTACATTGCAGGGAATTTTACAAAGACAAAAAACTTTGAATTCCCAGATTTTTTCATTCATATGTTGGACTCAAACCAACCCTGGTACTCAGAATCAGACATAACCTGGCTGGTGTATTGACGTAGCCACTCTTTACTTTGTGAGTGTACTTTGTACGTCTGGTATGGTAATAAAACGTGGGTTGAGCAATCCGATGTTTGGTCTGTAAGTTTCAGGAGGTCCAAAGTCCGATCATGTGCCGACCGGCGATGGGACAAATATGGGCGTCGGCTGGGCGATGAAACGGCGTGGCTGTAGTACTTTGTTCTGATTGGTCGTTGGGTGTTTGCTGTCTGGTGTGTAAAGTTCCATGTGACGGTGTCACGTTTCTGATAACACGTGAATCGTGCGACCTCAAGTAAGGGTTAACGTAAGGCTGGTCCATCTAGGCACATATGGGGGGTGTCAGAAAAGTTTTTTATGCTTTGTCTTATTCTGTGTAGACTTTGTTCATTTGTTCCTCTCACATTGTGTCCATCCTACTAATGATTTAGTTGTGAAAATTAGAGTTTCGGGTACCCGAAGTCACAACTCATTTATTTGTTCTTCCCTCCTTCCTTCCATCTTTACTGGTACCCACATAGTTCCATATAAAAGAGCCATGATTCATCTCTTTGTCATTCTTTCCTTCCCTCAATCCCTTCAGGTGCAAAAGTACCTGCTGCCATTACTGGGGGCCCTCATGCCCTTTTCCGTAGAGCGTAAACGGCCATTTTAATTCTACGAAGAGCGTAAACGGACCACTCTAATTCAATGTAGAGCATAATTGGCACATTTTGCGTAGATCTAGAGGCCTACTAGAGGGTAATTCGCCGTTTTATTTCACGTAACACGTTGTAGCTACCCAGAAATTATCGTAGAGCATATAATGGGGGAGGCTTCTTGAATTCAGCATGATATGTAGCCGACTCTCAAAATTTGCCATTAAGAGCGTTGTCGGGACCCCCCATGCAGGTCCTCATTACTCATCCCTCTGTTCTTCTTCCCATCCCTCGATCCCCACCAGGTGCGAAAGCTGGAGTTCTTGATGGCAGATGCCATTGACCGAGGTTGCGGGGCCATCATCACATGTGGAGGGGTCCAGTCCAACCACTGCAGGGCCACAGCAGTTGCTGCCAGGCAGCTGGGCCTGGATATACACCTCATGCTGAGGTCTGATGTGCAGGTCAGCAATACAGGGTTCTCTCTATACTTGTCTTTTCATTTGGACCACTTCAAACCTACTACAGCACTTGTTTTCAATTTAATTTTCAGTAATCTTTAATAAACATGGGATTTTTGGTCTTGTCTATCTACTTTTCTTTACTTTCAAACTTTAAAACTTTTACACTTTTCCTTTTGAGGATTGTTGTGACCTTTGTCCTCCAGGATTTTCTGCCAATAGCCAATGGTGTGCCTGATTGGAGCGCCAAGGTGAGGCTGCACCTGGGCTACCAAAATCAGCAACCAATCAGATTGCACTATCTCTTGATCATCTCAAATTTTTGACCAATCAAAAGTGATCCTCAGCACCCAATCACTACTCATCATCCTAATTACTAATTGGAAATGACAACCTCAGCAACCAATCATGCAGAACTCAATTATGAAAATTATTGTTAGAGTCACATTGAGAATATGAGTTTTCTCTGGATTTGGTTTGTGTTTTGAACCTGTCAGATGTTTTGGGATGGATCTTTGGAATGGGTTAGGGTGAATTTCGGATTGGATGGGAACAGGATCGGGATGGGGACAGGTCTAGGTTAGCTGTGGATGATGCTAAAGCTTGTCCAAACTTACGCTAAGTCTCCGTGAATAGTTTCATCAGGTTGGTAAGACACTGAGAGAGTAAAGAGACTCTTTTTACACAAGCAAGTCTTTTATTCAGCCGACATTTCGGTGACCGTCTGTCACCTTCCTCAGGGATATTCTGACTGCATGATTCACATTGCATTGCAGCACAGGTGTCGCTGCTATAGATGCATTCCCAAATGCACAATATTTGAGGAAGGGGACAGACGGTCACCGAAATGTCGGCTGAATAAAAGACTTGGTTGTGTCTTTACTCTCTTATGCTAAGTCGGGGTAGGCTGTGAGGATGAACTGATGGGTTTTGAATGGGGTAGACTCTTAGAGAAACAAGACGTCAAGTTCCTTGGGGGTTAATTTTTAAATCTAGAATCTTGTTGATTCATTACTTTTTAAATCTAAAATCTTGTTAGATCATAATTAAAGTTTTTATCATATCCAGAACCCGTCAGAGGTAGGCTGTGAGGGGAACCTGCTGCAGGACCGGCTGATGGGGGCAAACGTGTACCTGGTGCAGAGGACGGAGTGGTATGAGGAGAAACTCCTGCCGAGGATGCAGCGACTCGCACAGAGAATAAAGTCAGTTTCTCACTAAAGTCTCTTTTGACAAAAGCCTCGACTTGATAGTTTCTCTCCAAGTCTCTTCTAACACTATTTTTCATTGCATTTATCTACAATCATGTACTAGTATCTAATTGTGTATAATGTATGTGTAACATGAATGTATACTCTCCAAGCAGAGGTTTTGGTTTGAGCTGTAAATTATCTAGGCATTTTTTTTACAGTGCTTTCCTAGTAGTGGTCATGATTTGTCAAATTTTTTTTCTTCCGTTTATCCCTGCAGAGAAACCAGTGGGAAGGAGTCGTACCTGATTCCAGTGGGAGGGTCGAACCAGGTCGGGCTGTTCGGCTACATCACCGCATTCCAGGAGCTGATAGAACAGGTGAGCAGGACTACAGGTAACTGGGACAGGTGAGCAGGGCAGGTGAGCAGGGCAGGTGAGTCTTATCTGATCCCAGTGGGAGGGTCGAACCTGGTCGGGCTGTTCGGCTACATCACTGCATTCCAGGAGCTGATAGAACAGGTGAGCAGGACTACAGGTAACTGGGACAGGTGAGCAGGACAGGTGTGAAGGAAAGGTGAGCAGGGCAGGTGAGCAGGACAGGTGAGCAGGGCAGGTGAGCAGGGCAGGTGAGCAGGTGGTACAACAGGTAACTCAGCCCCCATTCTCACAAGGATAAGATTGTCTGGATCCAGCCGAATTGATCCAGCTTTGATCCAGCTAGATCCGGCTCGAAGCTGGCTCAAAGCTGGATCAATTCGGCTTGATCTAGACAATCTTATCCTTGTGGGAATGTCCGAATGGTGCCTTAGACTAGCTTGAGTGTCAGCCTTGTTAGCTTTCGTCCTCTCCCCCAAGATCCGCTCCCCACCAACAAAAGCTAACAAGGCTAACAGTCAGGCTGACAGGTACAGGTACTACGTTTGCAACTAGAGAAGGTGACTGGGATAGGTAACGGAAACAGGCAAGCAACCAACAAAAGGTAATAACATGAAATTCACTAAATATTCACTGATTGTTGTTCCGTTCCCAGGGAGTTCTGGAGAGATTTGATGACCTCGTCCTGACAGTTGGAAGTGGCGGCACGACCTGTGGACTGTGTGTGGCAAACTACCTCACTGGCTCCAAAATAAGGTACATTTGGTGAAGCTCAATGTCACACATAAAGTACCTTCCCACTACTTTACTTCCAACCAGTCTGCCAAGTTCTGTGCTGGGCTTTGAGTAGCCTGGAATATAAACTATGGATTCCAGGCTACTCCCAGCCCAGTACTGGATCTGTGCAACATGAGCTATGTGATTATGTGACCTCAAAACAACAACAATTGAGCTTCCCAATACAGTTCCAAACTCCTCAAAGCTAATGATAATATGTCAAGCTTATCAGGCATGCAACTGATGAATCAGAATCACAAGTGGAAGATTGTTTCTTACTCACTTCATCAATTATAAGTTCCACTGTTAAATAGAAATTGATACAACGTAACTTAAGTGAAATCTGAGCCCATGTCCTGATTTGCTACACTGTTGCATCCCCCAGGATCCACGCTGTGGCGATCTGTGACGATGCGGCGTACTTCCATCGCCACATCAACGCGGCGCTACAGGAGATCGGTCTGACGGACGTCCGGTCGGAGGACATCGTGGACATCATAGAGGGGTACAAAGGTCGCGGTTACGCCCTCTCCACCAAGAAGGAGCTGGGTAAGCAGGTTTGAAATAAATTACTCGAAATAAAACTACAATTACGTTTTTAATAGATAAATACTACTATTAGTGCCCTGTCCTCTGTATAAATTGGTACAGTCCAAAAAGTGTTCGGCTATTCTAATAATCGACCACTTTTGAGGTTACGGCCTGATAACCAATGGCAATTAAGCCTTCTGATTGGTCGACCCCTTCTGGCTATAATATTCTATAATCAAGAGTAAACTGTTTGTAAACAAAGACCGTCAGTACATCTTTCATTTGTCCGAATAAAAGTTTGTAACTTTTGTTGGAAAGACATGTCTTTGCACATGGCATCTGTGGATATTGCATCCATAACAAAATAGATAAATAGATGGAAGTAACTAGACCGAGGTACCTGTAAGGACTAAAACTGAATGGTAAAGTATACAAGCCCTCTACATGTAGCAATAGAGGTATTGATTGAATGATTTGACTATTTAAGTGATATTTCCATTGTATTGTATCTGTTCACCCTGGACCTGTTGTACACAGGGATTTAATTGATCAACTGATCAATTGATTGATAGATTGGTAATTGAACTCCTCTCCCTGCAGAGTTTGTTGCGAATGTCGCCCACACTTCGGGGATCATCCTGGACCCAGTGTACACTGGGAAGGCCACCATGGGCATGCTCAACGAGCTACGGACCAATCACAGCAGGTTCCAGGGAAACCGGATACTCTTCCTACATACAGGTAACCAATCAGGATACACTTCCTACATACAGGTAACCAATCAGGAAACTCTTCCTCCATACAGGTAACCAATCAGAGCAGGTTCCAGGGAAACCGGATACTCTTCCTCCATACAGGTAACCAATCAGGAAACTCTTCCTCCATACAGGTAACCAATCAGGATACTCTTCCTCCTTTTCCTCCATACAGGTAACCAATCAGGAAACTCTTCCTCCATACAGGTAACCAATCAGGAAACTCTTCCTCTATACAGGTAACCAATCAGGATACTCTTCCTCCTTTTCCTCCATACAGGTAACCAATCAGAGCAGGTTTCAGGGTAACTGGATACTCTTCTTCCATACAGGTAACCAGCAGTGTAGCAGAGACCTCTAGTGATACAGCATGAACTGCAGAGACTGCCATAAATGTACCAGCAGTGTATAAGTGCTGTCTAGCCTGGTGTCCAAACCTACTTTCGCTTTGGAGTCTCTTTCATCCTTTATTTGTGGACAGGGTGAAATAGCTCTGGACGCCAGGCTGGTATTAGTAGTCTGCCAGGCTCCCCAGGTTGCTGGGAAAATAGTAGAAATTGGCCAAATACTAGTAGACTGATTCTTATGCTAGAGGAGATAGTCTGCTAGAGGGTACACTGTACCCAGTGAGCAGCTAGGGCAAACTGTACAGTACAGTTTGCCCTAGCTGCTCTAGCAGAGACACCTAGTGACAGAACTCAGTATTGCAACTGGAGAAGCTAGTTATTTGTCAAAATCAAAGAAAGCAACTTTTACCCGAGTTGTCTACTCTGATTTAGAGACATTTAGAAGTGATACTGTGAATTACAGTAGACTGACCCAGGGTGGCTTGTCACGTGACATCGTCTACCAGTTACCTCTGACCCAGAGTTGACATCACACTTGAAAGAAGCCACATGACAAGCCTCACTGGGTCAGTCTACTGAGCAAGACCAGAGTGACTGGTCGAAAGCTCTAGGTGAGAGAACATCTTTGTGTTTTAACTCTTAACTCAACTTAACCTCTAAACTCTTACACCCCCAGGTGGGATTTTCGGCCTGTATGACGGGCGGATGAACACAGTCCTGAAGGACGGAATGCGCCACGTGACCGACCGCGTCCACGATTGGTGGAACTTCGATGACGACCCGCCCTTCCCATGATGCAATAGCCCCTCCCTGATTGGTTAGAATACCCAGCTCACCTGTTACCATGGTGATTTTTACTGGAAGTCTGTCTGGGGAGAGTTCTCCCCAATTTGTTTGTTCGTTTGTTCGTTAGTTCCTGTTTGTTTTTAATCCTAAAGTAATTAACCAAAGTAAATCTGACATTCCTTCACCAGTCAAGTTGAAGAGTTTCCACATGCTGTCATACAATATGTGGTTAACTTCGGCCATTGTAAATCTAAAGAAGTTCGAAACTTGCAGTATGAATTAAAAAGCATCACAGACATTACATGTTCAGACACATACATGTACATTTTGGCCTTCTGTAGACCAGTGGAATGACCAACAAACATGTAGAAGTCAGAAGAGAATGGCCGTCTGCCAGCCAAACAAAAGCTTCCACATGCCAAGGACATTAGATGTCGTAGGTCAGACAATATGAGGTTACACAAGTGACTTCAGCATTTGTGGATCAACAAGTTGGAAACTTGAAGCATATTGAATCGAAAGTATCATAAGCAATACATGCATGTACATTTCTCCGTTCTGTTGAACTACCAACAAGTCTTAAAAAGACATCGGAGAAGGATCGTTAGAAGAGAAAACCATATTTATCTGCACATGTAGTTTTATCATGTGGTTTTAGCACAATTTTTTCCAATTATGACTATAGGGTCATATCAAGTTATGTTAAAATCAATATTTAGAACTAATATCAATTTTATAGTAATAATCGCATAAATATTAATATCGGGACCATACCATATATGGTACAGTTGAAATTTGACACCGTGACGTCACCGTAGTTCCGCCAACGGAACGTTACCTCAATGCATCATGGGACGCAACGTCACGTGACGTACGTGTAAGCTATCGTCTGAAACTGACGTCATCACCCAAATATGGACGTGTCTCAGTGACGTCGTTAAGTGCACTGTTGTAAGGCGGAAAACTACAATAGAGGAAAATTAATTTATACATGGACAATTATTATTTACATTGCAATAAGGATATATATCTGAATTATATTAAATGATATGTATTTTTACAGGGTAATTGTGTAATTTGAAGAATAAAACGACGGACCATGCCAGTTTTTTTGGCAGATCGAATTTTTGGCCAGTAATTGATTGATTGTATGTTCTAATACTTTGCCGACATTAGTTCGTAATGGAATTATGGGGGATGCGTTTTAGCGCCACTTCCGCCACGCGTTTTAGGACATGGCAGGTTCTATTTGCATTACGTAGTTGTGAGACTCGCACTTGCCGCTCTGGAAGGTCATTTTCACCCCAAATGGAAATCGTTTTGTTACTCCAAATCTCATCATCATGATCGCAGAATATCTATTTCAAAACGTAAAATACAAGCAACGGAAAATATATATAAGACCAATAAAGACTACTCCCCAAGCAGAGGTTAGGGTTTGGGCCTTTGTGGTGTGTTTTTAATTGTTTTTTTATCGGGTTTCTTTTTTGCATTAGAATCTTTTGTTCACGTTGATTTTCCTAAATAACGCCAAAAAAGGCCAAAACCCAAACCTCTGATTGAAGAGTGAATAAAGTAATTTCGACTAAGAGTAAAGTACGATTTCCGGACGACCCCCCGTGGCCATAAAAGGGTAATCTGGGTTCTTGATTGCTGCTTTGTTTTGCGGCGCAAACGGGCATCGATCCGCTTACGTCCGGCCCAGCTTCAAGTGGCGAGCAATCCTGTCAGGCCTAGGGAAAATGTTGTGTTTCCTGTTTCAGCCCCGGAAAAATTGGGGTCGGTAGGTAGGCATTATCTTTTTTATTTCTCTTTTTTATTGAACTTTAGTAATCTCTATTGGTCCGACTTATACAATTATACAGAGTAAAATTGCATGAGGACACTTCAATGTCAATGTTGGAAAAACGACTGTACTAAGTTTCTTCAATGATGTGTGAGATCGCGGAGCTAGAAAAGGTCGGTCAGCTCGAAAAGTGCATGTCCCTTGCCTGGGTCCACACACGAAAAAAGGCTAGGGTCGGCAGGTTTTTCTAGGGTCGGTCGGGGAACAGGAAACACAACATTTTTGTCCTAGGCCCTACCATCGATTCGTTTACGTCCAGGCCCGGCTTCAAGTGGCAGCAATCCTGTCATTATCGGGCCTGTCCGCTCGTAAACACGCCTTTCGGCTTTCAATAAAAACGGTTAAAGTCAGCCGCTAGAGAAATTATCGTAAGAAAAAAACACAACACAACAATGGGACGGGGCCTTGGTATTTGTAAATCAGTATAGATTGAAAAGAATTTCTTTCAAGACGGTTTTGCTTGAAGAGAACTTAAGGTTTAAGCTGAAATTATAATCCAAATGTGGTATCAACGAAAGTCGTTCATGTATAATACCGATAGTAGCCAAAGTAAATTTGACCAAAAAGCTGGATATCAGTAAAAGATAATCAGTTATTTAGTCAAGATCCCTATATATACAGCGAGGAGAGGGGATAACCATGCTCTTTCAAGTCCAACATATAATTAAAATTTTACGTACATTATTTACACGGCATATATAACTTAGCCTGAGGCTATTGACAGGATCGTCCTGTCAACAGCAGGAAATACTGCACTGCTGACAGGATCGTCCTGTCAATAGCAGAAAAATACTGCACTGCTGACAGGACGATCCTGTCAATAGCAAGAAAATATTGCACTGCTGACAGGACGATCCTGTCAATAACAGGAAATACTGCATTGCTGACAGGATCGTCCTGTCAGCAGTGCCTATTTTGACACTATTGACAGGATCGTCCTGTCAGCAGTGCCTATTTTTGGCACTATTGACAGGTATTTTTAATCTCCATTTTGGGCTGTATTGACATGATTTCTTCATGTTTCATTTTTTTAAAACCATGTTTTCATTTTTTTTTTCAGTCAGAAGGCATATGCTACTGTACTGTAGATTAGGCGTTTCACGATGGCGGCTATCATCGCGTTAACAGCTAGTTATTATCATTACAGAGTACTCCAGCAGATACATGTCAAAACTAGACATGCTCAAAATATAAATACAGGCGAATTTCACGCATAAGCTGTCTGAAATACGAAGGCAGTTGTGTTTACATAAGATGACAATAAAAAAGACAAAAAGAAGTTTGATCTCTATCCTTTATTCTTTCAACCAAGGAGGTTAAAATCAGACCTCATTGTTTCAACAACTTCAACAAATCAAATGGAAAAAGGTAAATAAATTGTAGAAATCGGCATAAAAAGAGTATAGCTAGCCAGGGGA